TGAGCTACTAGGTCTTTGTTCGGTCACTAGCATGGTGATGAACGAAGGGTGAAGTGCAGTGGACCCAACGACGCAGGAGAAACGCAAAATGCAATGAAGCCACTTTCTTCTTAGACTCAGACTCCAATCCACACTCCACAGGCTGCGCGAACGACGCCAACCTCTTTCGGCATTCTGAAATAAACGCGCGCATATGATTCGAACATTTTCCATCCACCTGAGGTGCCTCATTGATTAAACGAACAAATGTAAATGTAACGATGCTAGGTTATACATACCAGGTCCAAGTGCCTAAGAACGTGAAAGCTCATGCAATGTAGATTTTGCAGGCAAGCTCTCGCGCTTCTAACACTGGCAAAAACCGGGCAAAAAGGAGCTGTAGATCGTGAGGGTCTACACGGTCTTAGTTTCATCACCTGGGGCTGGGTCTTTCGTTCACTTGAAAATTCCAGACGAACATCAAACATTGAAAAGCGACATCTGGTAGTTCCTTCCACAAGCCTCGCAGGACTTGACTCGTTGATCCCTTTGACAACTCGTAGCGAAAGTTCACGCGATTTGTCAAAGAGCGCCCTGAACCACGATGTGTTGTTTTCCCTGCTGACACCATGGCTATGGTGAGAAAGCGCTTCATCGAAGGGACTCAATAACCTGGTGTAGTACATTGTGTTTTTTGGTTGCCCAACCTTTTTGGAATGAACTGTTAAGAAGAATCAACCTTTTTGGTCGCCTCCCACACCAAAAAAGTTACTCTTTGCTTGGTTTATGTTACTCTTGGCTGGTTTATGTTACTCCCAACCCAAGGGACTTCCATGATGAGCTCAAACCTTTGGTGGAATGCCAGCACCCAGGGTTTCGTGCCAACGACACAGATCTTTGGCGTTCGAACATGGCCGATGTTTGTATGAAGAGCTCCACTCTGGACGCTGCAGACACTGAGATCAGCAAGCTGGAAAAGAGCAAGAATGATGCCCAGTTCCAAGCTGACCAGCTAGCTCTGGCTAGAGACGCAGCTCAGTGTGCCAAACTGTTTCAGAAGAGTCAGCAATCAGAACGCTCAGCTCGTTTGGCCCACGTGATGCACTTGAAACAGGAGAACTCCATTGGTTGTGGCATCGTCATGGAGCACATGGAGAAGAACTGCAAGCATGTTGGGGGTCCATTGACCACACTTCAACCTGTGCTAGATGAGGCATGGGTCACACAGTAGGTGATAAATGTTACATCATGTTACTAAGTCATGTCAAACTTGTATTTTGATGGACTTCCCTTTTCTACTTGTTGATTGTTCAACACATCATCACTGGAATGTGGCAACAATGGAAACAATCAAGTTTGGATTTGGACCAACCAATGTTGACCCCTGAGTTCATCAACCGCATGAAGAAAGATAAGTCCAGTGTGCTGGTTTGGGTGGACTTCATGAAGTTTGGTCGCTTGAGTGTCGCCGACCTGAACCACACGACAGAGCTTCTTCAGCGGGTCCTCTCAGCTCTGCCAGAGCAATCGTGCGGCTTTCTGATTGCACCGCAACTCACCTCCGAACGGCGAATCTCATTGAGAGATGAATGGAGGAGTTCTGGGGCCACCCATCTCTCTGAGCACCCGGCGCCATTCCTCCTTGTCCGTCGGCTTGTCTAAGCCCAGGGCAGCCAGGAAAGAGCTGGCCTCCTTGCGGGCCTCAGTGCGCTTCAAGTTCCGGGTCTTGGTGGCTGAGCTCGGAGCATCTTTGCCTCGTTGTTTGGACTCGATGGCCAGGGGGAGACTGCACCACAAGCTGTAGATGTACTTGAAGGTGTAACGGATCGAGTAAATGTGGATGAGGGATTTCAAGTCCCAGGTGCGGCTCTCTCTGCGCCACTTCTCGTCCTTGGCGGTGTCATGAGCCCACCAAATGGAGAGGATGGATTCCAGTCAGGGTCGAGTGCCCTCGCGCCTCTGTTCTTCCACCTCCTGGTCAGTGTATAGTGGAAGGGCTCCACCATGTCCGAGCCGAAGGAGCATGGGTGGGTCCGCCTCTCCAATGCCCGGAGCTTGTCCAGCTCCTTGGCTGAAGGTGCACCAGCTTTGGGCTGTGCCCAGTCCGGAAGGGGCGGACTGAACTCGGGAACCCGGCGCCAGACTCCACCAAACATCCTGAGCTCTCCACGGTGCACCTTCAGGGCCCAGAGCAGCATGGCCAACTTCTTCGCCTCCTCATCCATTTCATTGAGGGTTGCCATGCCCGGGCCGGTCACCGCTGGGCCAAGGGCGCCAGGAGTTGACGCTGCCCCAGGTTCCGCGGTGGCCACCGTGTGCTTGAGATCGGGCATTTCCTCCAAGAGTTTGGAGTGACCTGCCCATGGATTCTGGCCATCCTGTAGTGCTCTCATAGCCGGAAGGTAGTGGCGCAACATATCGGAGGGGTCCGGGACCTCGTGCCAATCCAGGGAAGCCGTAGGACAGAATAGGCCCCGCTCCAACTTGTGTTTGAGTTCAGTCGGCCACGCCGAAATCTCCACGGGGTTGAGGGCAAACTGTTCCATGAATGCTGTGCCCTGGTCCTGGATCTGCTTGTTTGCTGCTTTGGCCTTCTCCATGGAGGTGATTGCCGCCTGAAGGGCATCCTCTGTGCGGCCAGAAGTCTCCTCTACCATCCGTTTCTTCAAGGCTGCTTTGAAGTCCAAGAGGTTGACCTTCCGCAGGAGGTCAACGCACCTCGCTGGCGGGGACCGCCTGCATTCCCTCCTGAATGGGCGCCAGGACCGTTGCTTGCAACTGAGCCATATGGTCCGCTTTCTCCTCGCGCTCGGTCCTCCGCTTGGGCGTGCTCCCCCTTGAGGGCAGCCGCTGAGAGCCCTTGGAGGGCCTCGGACTGAATGCGAAGGGCCTTGGCCGCCTCTCTGGATGGAAGATCTGGAGGACTGAGCCGGCTGTTGCTCCTCAAGCCTTTTGCGATGGGCCGCCGATGTCGCCGTGGCGTCATCTTCATAGTCGGAGGACATGATCTCGTGCCGGATGTGGACCCGGCAGACTGATGGGACCTCATCCGCAAAGGTCCGCTCTTCCTCGGTGCATGTGGCCGCCGGGGCCTGGGCAAACTGGCTCCCATCAATGGAGTGTGACAGCTTGAAGTGCCTCTCCGCTTCTGGAATTCCTGTCGCCTCAGGGCCAAGGGCACCTGGGGAAGACTGGGCTGGAGCAGCGCGCCTCCAGACTGGTCTGCCCGCCTCGTAGAGTAAAGTCCAGGTCTGATCGCCGACATCCATAATGGACGTAGGCCGCTGGTACTCGATGGCTTGGTCGTGTTTGCACATCCAGCATCTGGTTGCATTCTCCGGCCAAGGTGACATGCATTTGCCGCACATGGAGTGGAAGGGAACCTCACCAGCAGGTCGGTGGAGGCCTCGGTGCTCAGTCAGTGTCAGGCCGGATTTGTCTGAGGCCTTCTGATACTTCTGTGTCCAAACCCTCTCCTGCATAGCCAAGGCCCGCAGGGGAATGTACTGCTCGATGATGCGAGTGACCACCGGCGTCGTCAGAGGGTAGCCAGTGAACTGGTCAAAGAGCTAGACCATCTCCTTCTCGGTGCACGAGACGAGAAGCCCCACCAAGTGGCCCGGAATGGCCGGAAAGGCGTCCGGGAACATATCAAATCGGACGTGATTTGCAGGGTCCGACACTGGTGTGAACCGGATAGGCATGGGGATCGAAGAGGGGGCTGACCCCGTGGCCCGCGTGAAGCCCGGCAGTGTAGGTGCCTTGGATGTAGGTTCCTCCATTGGCTGTGGAGTCGGCCGCTTGCTCGGTCGTGGAGGCTCAGGGACTTGGTCTCGCGCTGGAGGTGTAGAAGGCGCCGGAGCATCAACCATGGCGGCATGAGGGTCTACCGAATACCCTGCCTGTGCAGGGGGCTGAAAACCTAAACCCGCGCGCTCACTGGTGCCGTCCTCCTCCATGTCCTGGGGTGGCGCAGCTTGTCGTGGCTCCACCGAGACAGGCCAAGCCACTGGCGGTTCCGCTACTGTCGCCAAAGGATCAGGCTGGGCCGCCGCCGCAGGAGGTGTAGTAGAGCTCGAGGTCGTCGCCACCACCGGAGTAGTTGCAGCCTCCCCCGCAGCTGGGCCCAAGGCGCCAGGTGCAGCAGGAAGGCCGCCGGCGCCGCCATCAGCATGGTCGTTCAGCCCCAGGAGGTCCACACCCGTGTCCGCATCTTCTTGGTTTGCGATCTGGACCTTGAGGTCTTGCATGTGGCGCTCTAACTGGCGAATTTGCTCTTGAGCGTCGAGCTCGGAAACCAGGACAGGTTCCCCAAAAACAGCAAGTCCACGAGCTCTTTCCGCCTCCGCATGACGGAGGGCTCTGCCTGGTCCAGACTCTCAATGCCCAGGCTACTGACCGTAGCCGAATCCCAATCATCACCTGGAAGGGCCAGGGCAGGGGCGTCGATGATGGAGTACTCCTGTTCCATCGGGTGCGCCATTGCGTCGTGTTCGAAGAAAACCGATGTACTCGCGAGTTTCTCCAGAATTCAGGTGCAATCCTGTGGATGATTGCCACCAGCTCCCGGTGGGACATTTTGTGAACTTCAGGGAACATAAAACTTGCACCCGCAAGCTACATGCAAGTGTGAATATATCCTAAACCAATCGTGTACATTCGAGTTCAGCAAAACAGCGGTTCTACCTTCCCTTCCCGTTGCACTGTTGCACTGCCTCCATGCTTAAACTGTAGGAGCAAAACAAAAAGCCACATCCCCATCCATAATAAAAGGATGCCTTCCACATGTCTGATGGTCTCATGAAGTCCCTCTCTCCCTCTCCCTCTCCCTCTCCCTCTCTCTCTCTCTCTCTCTCTCTCTCTCTCCCTCCGCTCCTTCTTGCAGACATATCTGCCATTTGTATCCATTTGTGCCTTGTTCCTACTAACACTCCTCCCGAACCAGTCGCGTCCAGATCGGGTGAGTGTTCCACTCACCCGCGCGGTGGAATCCCCGTGCGGCCCGTGATCATCTGAGTGTCTGGAACTCTGGCCACATAAAGGCACCTGCGCGTTACGCAACAAAAATCACAAGTATGACACTCACGGCTGCCTAATCACACAGGCCAATGACTGTCATTTGTTACAGAATGATTCAGCTTCCCGGAGGTTTCTTGAAATGACTCGGAGGCATCCTCCAAAGGGTACAGAAAGTCTGTGTGAGTGTGTCAACCCCTGTACCTAAGGGTTCCACCTTGGTTTTAGTTTTGAATGCTTCTTCAGCAGGGGCGTCAGGCTCGACACATCTACCTGACGCAACGAAGCTATGATGTGTCGAGGGAAGTGAGAGCTGATCACTCTCATGTACCTGCTAAGAAACTCTTGCACAAGCTGTTCCAATCCGCCTTATTTGATTCATGGTGGTTACATGTCTTCATCCCATAAACCTTTCCTTTGCCGCCGTCAGCTGCCGCGCGCGCCGTTCGCGAACTGCAGATGTGCACCAAACCATTGTTGAAACACCTTCAATTTCTTGGACTTTTCACCATGCCGTTCCCTCACCTTTCTTCCACGTGGGAATTGAGTTAACCGCAAACCAATGTCAGAGTGTGAATCGCTCAGCCGTCCCACTTGGGTGCTGGGTGTGATCCTCCGCAAGGAGGCGCTGTTCTCATGCCGGAAATCGTGTCACAGATTCATCGTTTTTTCATCGTGAATTCTCTTAACAGCCTTCGTCTCAACACTGAATTGTCTGAATAAGAAGCCGCCGGGCTTTCACGGCAAAACACCCGCTTACTGACACCATAGCCGCCGGGCTAAAAACGGAATTCCACCTGAGGTCAGGCATGTATCCCAACCCCCCCCCCGCCGAGTTCTACTCCCCACCTAATTAGCGCAACACAGGGAAATGGTACTCGACACACTTGTGTGTCGGTGCCTTTCCCTTGGTTGTTCCTGTTCTAGTCTTCTCTAACCCGGGCGGTCTAAGTTCTATACCCGCTCCCTAACTATTGTATTTAATTCGCCTCGGCTAAGTAGTCAGTAACTCTAGAGTGCTAAGTAGTCATTCACACACACGGACACACACACACACACGTACATACACCTCCCTGCCCCCCCCACTTTCCTTCTTGCGCTTTTGGTCGTTTCTTGGGCTTTCTCTCAGGCTTTTTAGGTTGCTCTTGAGGCTCGTTTCCCTACCCCAGTCAAGGGCTAAGTATTCACTTTTCTCTACACCTACCTTTAGCGCTGCTCTTTCTGTGTTTCTTTCTTTTGTTTCTAAGGCTTTTTAGGTAACTATTCAGGTTCACCGCACGAGCGCCGCAAAGCGGCACCGTGTGTGTGTCAACCCCTGTACCTAAGGGTTCCACCTTGGTTTTACATCTACCTGACGCAACGAAGCTATGATGTGTCGAGGGAAGTGAGAGCTGGTCACTCTCATGTACCTGCGAAGAAGCTCTTGCACAAGCTGTTCCAATCCGCCTTAGTTGATTCATGGTGGTTACATGTCTTCATCCCATAAACCTTTCCTTTGCCGCCGTCAGCTGCCGCGCGCGCCGTTCGCGAACTGCAGATGTGCACCAAACCATTGTTGAAACACCTTCAATTTCTTGGACTTTTCACCATGCCGTTCCCTCACCTTTCTTCCACTTGGGAATTGAGTTAACAGCAAACCAATGTCAGAATGTCAGAGTGTGCAGTTCCAGACAGTGACTATTTGACTCGGTGTGATTCTATTCAAAACTGAGAGTTTGGGTACCCAACCATCCACCCGCCTACTGTATCTTCTTTAGGACTTTAGGACAATTGGAGTGCTATGATGGCGGACTCAAAGCCCAGTGATATATGATAGGTTTGCCCCACAAAATGACAGGCTTCGGCGAGTTCGCGATGGGTATCACTCGCCTTGCCGCACCCATCCGCTCACCAACAACTTCCTTGGACGCGGAGGCGGACGACGCGAGGAGCGCCTTTCATGCCAAGCCGTGCCTTGCCCCAGTGCAGGGTGGCCGCCAAGCCCAACTGCACATGCTCAAGCCACGCCGGGAAAACATGGGAAAGATATGGGTGTGTATAATATAGGGAGGGAGACCCTGTGGCCCTGGCTGGGTAGACTGGTCTATTTCCCGAACCTGGTGACAACAGCTGAACGCATCTCTGTGAAACGAAACTTTCACCAAAGAATCTGCCGTAGTAAAACGAAACTGTGCCAACACAATATGTGGCAATGATATCGGGCAATTACATTGAACATCATTGAACCACTGTGGCAAACATCGTGGCAAGGAAATGTTCTCACCAGAACACTTTCAAGAAGTTGACTGGTCCACGAGCCTTCACAAAAGGCTTGATCATCATCATCACAAATTCCTGTCGACGCCGTGCGCAAGTCATGGATGCGAGTCTGGGTCGACCTGCCCTATACGGACTATCCTCCATCCTCCCATCTCCTCCGCCGTAGCCTACATGGCATCTCCTCGCCAGTGAGTCACGGCCCAAAACCCAAGGCGACACATCGGAAACTCGAGCACCGAGCACCGTCTCAAACATGAAACCGCCCCACTGGTCCGGCATGCTCGTCCGTGTGAGGACGACACCCGCCGTCTTAAGGTCCCCAAGAATGGGTTCAACAAGTACGGATCGTTGGGTTGCGCGGTGTCGGTGTAGCTTGCGGTCGGTTTACCAATCAGAAGAAAACATGTCCTTGAAATGGGATAAAGTGTAGCCTCTTTCATTGGCTGGCCTCACCAGAACCACTCACGACCAATGCTGTCCTCACTTCTCCACTTTTTTCATTCTTCCTCCCCTCTACGTTGTCCGATGCGTGACTTCGTGCAGGTGTTTTGCATGTTTCGCGCCGCGCACCGTGACCACCAGGGCCAGGATCTCAGCACCAGCCTGGTCAGCCTGGCAGAGTCTCGTGGCCACGGACATTCGTGACCAGACCAACTCAAGTGCCAACAAGGAGGGTGATTCCTTTTCTTGGGTCCTCTCTCTTTCCCGCTTTATCTTGCTTTGGACGCCAAACATTATAAAAACACCATGTTCCTTTCATCCGCCCTCCGCCCCACCAGTGGTCGAACAAAAATAGACATCAGAAACAACGTCCTTCACATGGAGCTCCTCTTCATGGAGTCCACGCGCTCCTTTTTCAGCGGACCGCGGACATTGCGGTGTTTTCACGTGGTCTGACCGGCCTTGCAACGGTATTGGCCACAGGGCTCCACCAAAGGCTGCAGCACCAAATCGCCACCCGTCCTCGGCCCGGTGCCGGGCAAACGGCGCGGGGGTTCGGCACGCCGTCCTCGGCACAGCCTGACCAGGCCCTCAAAAGCAAGGGATATGAGGGACGGATCCCTCCATATGAGTGTCCAGGAGCGTCTGGGCAGTTAAAGAGCTAGAATCTACATGGGAACCATGTTTCCCTTGTTTTTCTAGCTGGGATCCAGAGATTCTATAGTGATGTGCAAGTCTGTGATAGCAGTCCATGCTTGGCCGGTGGACATTTTTGCATCGGCTGGGCCCTTTCCAGGTTGGCTGGTGCCTTTCACCTTTGCTTCACGTCTATAATTCGTGCAAATAAGACTGAACTAAGACAACACAAATCAGTATGGTTCCAACCTGAGTATCACAAAGAAATGTTATAGGGTGCAGGACCAAAGAATGCAGGCTCTGGATGTCCTTTTGTTCTGGTGAAGCTGAATAAAGTGCACCCAAAGAAATGGTAAAAGGTTCGGTTGCGATGGTTGTTTGTATCTGTATTTGTTTGTATTCTTGGAACACATATAAACATAAAAAAACAAACAGCCAACAATGAACACTGGGATGTCCCAGCATCCCCCCTTTTACCATTCCTTTAATCCTTCCCCAACGCCATCCACTCAACACCATATAGGACTTCAGATCTGGCTCTGCAGCCCAATTAGTCTAAATTCTGGCTGCGGAAGCCTCTGTGAAAGCCTTCCGCCACAGCACTGTGCGATCTTTTATGCCTGTGACCCCTTTGTGGCTGACCAGCTCTTGTAGAGAAAGAATCTGATTCAACGGTCTATCAACCACCACCTCCTCTGGCTAGTCCCATCCAATCCGCACGAACCGTCGGTCAATGGTACATAATTGGTACCTAGGTGCCACAGCGGCCAATCGAAGAGCAACTCCATCGAAATGGCCATGTAAAGCCCCGCCGTCAGAATCTGATTCGACCGTCGGACTGGACTGGGCGGAGAATGGGGAGTGAAAATACCGTCTGGGGGGAGAGGACAATTTGGAGTGAACTGCCTGGGAAGTAGTTCTGGTATGTTCTGGTGGAAATTATGGCAAGGAAATACAGACCACACCTGCATTGCACATCTTTGCGCGACACTTGGGATCATGCACTTCGAATGTTGCGGAATTCGGCACAAACCATACATTTATGATCATTTATGCAAACCACTCCTTGAATCGGCGCTGTCCGCTAAAGAATATATAGTAAACTCATAGTAAACTCACGGAATGTAGTGAACCGATCGAATCGGTTCATCTGGAAGGTCCCATTCTGATATGTATGTACCACCGCCCCCGCCCCCCCCAAAAATGTACGGTGCCCAAAGTTCAGTGGTACAAACCAGTTCGTGAGAGTCTGAGTGTGTCCATGACACTTGCACATACTCCACAAATTCCGATGGGATTTCCAATCAGAGGATGGACTCTTCGATCCATCTAAACATTTGTAAGTGGTTTGTCCTGAAAAAACATGGCATCAAACATCAAATGCTGGTTTCAACTTTCAACGACCTCTTTTGTCACAGCCTGTCCGTGAACACAGACATGCCCAGTGTTTCTTAGTGGAATGGAGTGGTAGAAGTATATAACTTGAAAACCAACCTTGGAGAACCTGAAGAACCCCTATAAAAACCTTGGCAGAACCCTCTTAAAAACGTCGCAGTCCCTTCATTTCAGGTTTCTGAACAGTGGTTCTTCCATCTACTGTTGGTGACACCTGAAACTGAAACCTCCGGAAACCAGCACTTTTCAACCTCCAACTTCGTTCACCACGGCCGCCAGGCCACAAATGATTGGCCGTATGAATATGATCAGTGCCAAAGAGCGATTTCTGGAGAACTTTCTAGAATCGCGATTCATAACATTCATAACCCCACATCTGATGTTTCTTTGGATTGTAAAACATCTAATGTGGCCCCTTGCCTTCCTTCAGCTTGTGGGTTGTTCCTCTTCCATCTCAAGACCAATCTCGCCTGTCCCAAGAAGAATCGGGTGATGTTGAGCAGCGCTTGCCAGGAACGGGGCCACGCCTGGGACCGGACGAGACGGTGGTCGTCGTTGCCGTCACAACCACGACCCACTCTGGGGGACCTTTGGGACCGTCGTTTCCTTCAAAAGGGGTGACTGCATGGGTAGTTGTATCGTTGAACATCCGGGAGAGCCCCCCCAATGGGTTGACGGATTCTTTGGTTTCTTCCAGGGGGGTTCACCCACCTGGGAGGTCTACACCCAGATGGGTCCTCGAAAGCAGGTCAATAGACTGATGGTCCTGATGGTCATTAGTTTAACCCTCATGGCGCTCACCCCGGGGGTAAATGACGACATGGCGCATGTCAGGCACTCTGAAAGTACAATCTTCGATTCTGGAATCCGCTTCATTTATCAATCTTTCAGAAGATTCACATGTGACAATCCCGAGGCGGTGGGTAAGTTGAAGTGTTTGGCCAAACAAGAAAAATAAAACGACACCTCTAGGTTTTCTAAGTTGAATGTTTGTTTGCCTTGTGGATCTTTGGGCTTGTCAGTTGCACAGTGCTCACCATCAGTCACCAGTAATCATGATCTTTCCATAGCTCCAAACTCTGGAACTTCTCTTGTGGACACATGTCATTGCATGCTGCATGCTTATCAAAGCCACACTCTGAAACTTCCAGCACAAGTGATCATTTCATCAACATCACCCTCCCTGCAGGATAAAACCAGAAAACGGTGGATCAACCACTGGATCAAATATGATCAACACCACACCAGTATTGACCCCAGACTATTGACCAGTGATGACTAGTGGATCATTCTGGAGATCCTCACCCCTCCTGCCTTTCTGGGGCCATCTTCCTGACCTCCTCCGCTTCTGTCTTTCCCACCTCCAGTTGCGTGAGGAGCTCCACCGCCGGCGGCAGCACCACGCCGGCCCCCGTCACCACCAAGGGTGCCAGCGAAGCGCCCAGCCACTCCCCGAGGCCTAGGACGGTGTTGGGGGCTCCAAACGAGCCTGGATCTCTGAACATGGCTGGGCTTCATGTTTCTGAATGGCTTCTGTTGAGCCTGGTGATGGCGGTGGGATCTGGTGATGTTTTCGATTTTTGTCCACCTGCATGGATCTATGAGGTGTTGACTGATGGGTGGCTTTTGATAGGCTTGAATGTGATGTTTGAATCTGCTAGTGCTCAACTGCGCTTCTACAAGAATATGACACATCGTGAGGAGACACCGAAAAGGGATCAGGTATGATCAGGTTCTACGAGTCTCACAGCCCAACAAAAGCACATCGAAGAATCAAGTGCCAGAAACGGTTCTGTTGTATCAGTTGATGGATCAGTTGCCTTTTGAAGCAAACAAACACAAATCCCAGGTGCTTGCACCATGACGCAGCACCAAGCAACCCGTGTTGACTATTTATTGTCCAAGAACTACCACGACCTTCCTGACGCAAACCACGTCCCAAAGATTGACATCATGGACTTTTTCCAGGAAATAAATGTCAAGTACAAGCCAAACCAAACAAACCTCCAAACACCCAATGCAAAGCCACCCAAATGTGTGCCAACAAACCATCCCCCCCTTGTTTCTTTTGCATCAACAACTGTTGAACTGGGGCATCTGGGCGATTCGTCGAATTCGAAAGAGGGAGCGTTCCCATCTCCGTTCGCTTCGGAGTCGCCGAACCTCGGCTTATTTTTTGCACGGGTGGAGACGCCATGTGTGCAGAGGTTGCACATCGAGTCGCCGAAGCTCGGCGACGAGTTCGGAGTCGCCCTCCGCCAGACACCGCCGCGCCTCTGGCTCCAATGGACTCGAAGGAGTTGCCCAAGGACTCCTGCCACCCGACTCACCGCCCCCGTGGGTTCCTCGGCCCCGCGGGTCTAACCGCCCCGGGGGTTCCTCGGTCCCGGTACGTAGGTCTAAGGCTTTGTTTTTTCTAGATGCAGCTAACTACAGTTGTCATGTCTACTTGTCTTGATTCCTTTCATGGTGGAGGTGCTTCTATAGTGTTGGAGACACGGCATCCATTCCATAGTGAAAGGAGCCTTTGCATAGAGAACTTGGAGAAGCCAGTGATGGGTTAAGACGGGGTATGTGATACCTTAGCGGAGAACGGCAGAACAAAAGCTGCATTGTCGATCTGGGAACTCAGAACTCGTTGTTTCTGGTGTGAATCCAATAAATAGGCCCCGAGCATGAGCAAGCTTCCACTAAACGAAGGGAACCGAAGTCGCCCCCAAAAAAATATTGCTATATTGAATATCTAGAATTGCTGAGGAAGGGATATGATTGGACTACGTATCTCTAGATTGGTAGGTACTTCTTCAGCCCACACGGCTCAAGAAATCTTCTTGTTTAGCTCAAGAAATCCACCCACTGTAGGTTCCCTCTCTCCCTGTCACACTCCATGGATCGCATATAACATACACCGACCAGAAAAATCTCTTTTCAACCGACCCCCAGTCCCTTGGTATCTGTGTGCCAGTCCCTTGGGAAGGATCTGATACCCTCAATCCAACACAACCATGTCTGTTGGGAGGGTAACTCAACCCTAGAGTTGTCCACCTCCACCGCCCGTGCTCCACAAGCAGCTGGCGATCTTGGGAGCAGAACCAAATTAGAAACCACAAGCCCACAATGATGGCGATGTTCACGCAAAAGCCTCACAAGACACGGTGATGGCGAGGGTGATGTCGCTCCAAATGAGTGGGAAAGTCACCTGCTGGAGGTCCATCGAGGTCCACTAGAGACCCTACAGCTTCCACCAGCTTGCACCAAAAACGACCAACGACCATCAAAAGACCTATATATGGTATCCGGTACATTGCTCAAATCATCCTTGTGCAGCTTGATCTTAGCGTGATGAAGTCACTTCTTTGCTTGTTCTTCGCTCTCAGCTGTGGCCGCCATGTTCGCTCTCATCCATCCATCGTGGAACCACGGGCGACTTCACTTCGGGGGCAGTGGAACGTTGCGGAACTTCGCGGAACGTGAAGTCCTCAGGCGACTCCAAGTGAGTGACCCAGCGGAGTCGCCTGAGCAGCGCTTGAAGAGGAGCATGTTCTGATCGATGGTCGTGCGACTCTTCACCTCGACAGAAGACGACGAAAACGCCGAGCAAAACGCCGGTCACGTCACGTCTGCGAGGTCGTCCGAGCAGAAAACAGGTTGAAAAGAAGTCGACCAGGCGAGATGAAGAATGAGAACCTCTTCATTTGGTTGGCAAGTTGCCTGGAGTTGGCCCCCTTGTTCAATTCAAGTGTATTAACATGTAACAAGTATCAACATGCGACTTCCACGAAGCAGGAGGCGCCCGATTTGATGATTTGTAGGTTTGATACGAACACCTGAGCCAACACCTCTTGGAACACTCTATCGTCAAAGCTCGACTATAGGGACTATAGGGCCTCTTTAAGATTCCTCTACCAGGACCCGACTCTACTGGTCACCATTTGAGACCTGAGACAGGGTCCAACAACCCTCAACTAACAGCCTGGCCAGCAAATTGCTGGTATATTCCTCTACTTGAGCCGCGTTGAGCCCTACTTTCCTGGTCCTTCTCCCGTTGGATCAAGTGGCACTCTCCTGGTCCTTCTCTTCAGCCTGGAGCAAGCGCAACTGATCTGCCACGCTCTGCCTCCACAACCTGAGGCAGCGAGGCAGGCACCGGGCAGTTCCGCAAAGAATCGAAGACCTTTTTGACATAAAGCCGTTAGACATATAGATGAAAATAGGATGAAATATGTGACACATATATCGATAGCACGTAACATCGTCAATGTATGCAATAGAAATCACCAACACATGGCGTTCGTCTGTGTTCCATGCGGTGAACAGCACGTGTGACTTGACTTGTCTTCCTCTAGCAGGCTGTTGCCGTGATCAAATGAGCGTGCTCTTTAACTGCTGACGGACCTACTTATTTATTCCTATATAATTATATAATATCTAAATGAAAGTCACAAGAGTGTCTTGGGAAGTGGGTTAGAGTATTGAAAAAACATGGGTTTTACATGGTTTTACTCCATGAACTGTTGTTTTGAACTGTTCTGACTCATCCAAATGCAGCCCAAATGGGTGAATCTGTCCTACACCCAGCTTCCTCCGAACACCTGAAACATCTGGAAAGGATGACTGATGGATTGATGGTGACGTGACTGAGAAAAAGCTTCGACCAGTCCGGAAAATCTCGGACACCACATGGGACAAGAGCACCTGCGACGTGATTCCAAGAGCAGAACCGAACACCCATCCTCATGACCATCCACCGATCGGTGTCGGATCCCAAGGAATCGGGCATCGAACACGCTGCGGCATGCCCAGTCACAGGCGATCGGACTCGGAGCTCACCCGGAAGTTCCAAAGACCTTGGCCGTAAAGAAGCAAGCTGCTCATTGAAGGAACCTGATGTCTTTATCGGAGTAGGTATTGGGTGGCATGTCAGGAACAAAGAGATTTGAGAAGCGTTTGTGAGAACCTGACAAGCTCCTGGAATTGTCTGAGTTTGAGGGGTCCTCCTCCTATGGTGCGTGACAAAAAAAATAGCCACGCCTCACAGTTCAGCTTAGTCCAACACAAGTTTAGCAGAACCTCACAGAACCACAGAACTTCCTCGTCTTCTGGTCTTCTGCCTTCTTCCACCATGCTTGAACATCTGCTTTACGGCACACGGCACGCAGCACCAAGCCGGGCTTCCGGGCCAAACACCAGGGAGCTCCAACCTGAGTGCTTACGCCCGCAAGCACGCCAACGCACCCAGCTTTCGGCCCCGCCTTTGGGCGTGACTGCCAGTGACTGGAAGAACGAACAACAGGCCGCATCAAACCGGGGACAGCTCTCCAGGCCGCAACTGGCCGCAACTGGGGATCTAGAGACTCCGAAAACCCAGTGGTAATGCTGCTTAAGCGTGGGAAGAATATGGCAACAAACAGCGAATCCACATCAACTTCCATATCATAATGATACTCCACATGCAGCCAGCAAATGATTGTTTTCCTCAAGCAACATTGACCACACGCAATGTATGACATCCAAAAGCTTTTGGCCAAAGCGACGCATCGGCTCCAGGTTTTCGGAGAACTGCTCGAAGTTGTACTTTGCCTGCCCGAGACAAATTCGAGACTGAGACGAGTGGAGCTTGGAGCTCAAACACTATGGATTGACTCGTGCGAATGGAATGTCAACTGAAGCAGTCGTTTGAAGAATTTGTCTAATTACAATATTTGTCTGTCGTGACCCAGATTGGGAGTTCTCCAAACAGGGCAGCTCACAGAAAGAACTGACATCATCAAAACCCCTTAGTCAGAGGTTTTCTTCCAATCTCTTTGATTTGACACAAGTCTTAACAAGAATTTACAACGCTTTAAACTTGTAGTCATGCGACAAGTGCACGTATGAAAACCGAAGCCTCTTTCAGGAGCCAACTGCTTCAACACGACCCATTCGGGTGTGTCTTAAAATAGGGGGACCTCCCAGGCCACGACCCCCTGGAAGAAGGACAAATAGATGAACCAACACCGAAAACCCATTGGGAGCCTGGGGATCTCCGTCTTAAAATCACACACCCCCTTCTGCTTCCGAGTCGTAGCGGACCCCCCTTTCGGGTCACCTCCGACCACCCAAAGAGTACCTCGGTGGTTTGCCACCAGACCAAGAAGAAGAAGACCGCGAAGACGATGGACACCTGCCAAACTCATGGAGTCCTACGGCACCGAGCGGAGTCCTGGACGTCCTGGTCCGTCCCGGTCCTTCCCACACCGTGAGTCTGCGACCCCAAGAGTCTTTGAAAAGGAGTATCAACTATACTTGCATCTAATTGCGCTAATTGAGAACAGGGATTCTTGGAAGGTATGTTACAGATTCACATGTTCCCAGGTACGCATGGAAGCGTACTAGACATGGTCTAGAAGTCCAGGTCTGTCCTACCGACACCAGTCACCTAGTCACCTGGCACCGCGGAAAGGTCACGCCGAGGGGCTACGTTTCCGAAGACGAACCACAAGGCGATGTTGAGGTCCTTTGCACTGGTGCCCTCGGTAGAAAGAGGATGGTGGTCTTCAAGGTGCGGAATACGGGGAGCAGAAGGGAGGAGGTAGTGAGAGGCACCGAGGCAGTCAATAGGGGGAGAATATGGGAGAAATGGTGAAGGTGAGATGGGGTGCGACACTGGGTGAGAGCTCACAAAGTGGAGTTGACATGAGTTGATGGGGGTCTCAAAAGGGTTTCAGCTCGGGTTTCAGTTGCAAGACTCCTGCTTTGACCAATACGTTGGTTGTGAGACTCTGCGCACTTTTGCAGGTTTCTTGGTCTATCTGAGTTTATCTTGGGTCATGAGGTATTGAAGACCAAAGTGGAAAAGAAAAAAAGCGACGGTTCAATAGGCCCTTTCAGGATTGGGATGAAGAACTCCAGCAATTCTATTATGGTTTTTGGATAGTGGAGCATCAACGCTTAGAGTGCTAGAGCATTCCAAACTGCCCTTGCTTTCTACATCCAAGCGCTCAACTAAGTTAGTAACTATTGACACCATTCTGACTCTGGAACATCTTTCACATATATTCACGACCAATCACCACAAAACGATGTTCACGCTGTTCCACCACCAATGTTGGACCCACCACACTCCCTGCCCGCTTCGCCACCCCTCCGCGTCGCCACTCCGCCACACCACCAGGCCACGGAGCTGGCCTTGATGCCGCCCACCATGTTCCGAATCTCCTGAAAGCCCAGCAGTCGGTCACAGCCGCCGCAGTCACAGCGGTCGGTCCAGAGGCCGCTCGGGTGAAGGCGAGCATCTAATCTATGGCTCATGGCTGGTCCACAGCAGAAACGATTTCAGCACTTACTGGCTATGGTCACTTCTTCTTGAGACTGTGAGCCCCAAACACATCAGTTCTACAGTTCAAGTTCAGTTCTGGTTCGGTTCTTCCGAGTGGGAGACCCGTTCAGTACACCGCAGACTACGTCCGCCCTGAGCCCTCGCAGTTCGGACTTTGACCATGTGGACCGGCCCTGGCCGGTGTCTAGAAGTGGAGGTGCACTGAAGAAGGACACTATCAGGAAATATAAGGAAATGGGACCTGATGGAAAAACCGCGAGGCCTCTTTGCAACGAATCAGAGATTCATACTTCAGTGCAAGGGCGGCCACAAAACGCTGTCGACTCGCGCTCCCAGGAGTGAAAGAACAACCACATATATGCATCGCTCACACAATACGAATCTTCTTCATATTATATATGTACAGGAAAAAAAGAAACAAATGCGCTTGGATGCCTTTTGAGGTGCCCAGTGCCAAATGCCGTTTTAACCATAAAACTAAAACCACGGAATTCCCGGTGTCGAAGATAGATCGGAGATCTGCCAAGCGACGGACGCACTCGAGGCGAAACACCTCCAGGGAGGGTTTTTGGAGAAAATGCTGAAGTCACTGGGGCAACTGAACTGGTACTCACTGGGGCAAGTTTCACTGCACGACTGGTCCACTTGGACTTTGATTCGCATGTCTTTGATGTCTTTGCTCATCTTTGCGTCGATTGATCCCCAAAGCTACCAACGGGTGTACAATTGGAGCAGGTCAAATTTGGGGCGAATCCGGACACTTGGAGCCGAAAAAGGCAAGGAAACAGTGTCCGATCTGGGCAGAACCACGCGGATCCAAAAGACTGGAATTGCCCCCCCCCTCGAAGGAGCAAGTCCCTCATCTATGTCACCGATGGGTCTGTAGGGTGATGTTCAAACGTCCAAACCGACAGAACAAATGGAGCAGGTCGATTTCATGCAACTATTGCGGGGTTTTCAAGACCATCATAACATAGCATGGCCATGCATGGCCAGGATCCATTGCACATGGGCCAGGAGCGTGTCGTAGTCGGTCGTTCAAGCTCTGCTTGCATCATTCATGGGAGAAGCACACTTGGTTTTACATCTGAACGTCCTTTCTCCATCTCCAAGGCCAGCCATCTCATCACTACTCATTCCACCACTACTCCGTAGCCTCTCAGTGTGTTTGGCCTGCCTGCTCGCGTTGAACACTTGCAGTTGGAGGCCATAGGAAGGCAATGAGCCGTTGAAGGAATCTGCAAAGCCAAACCACCTGAAACGATGGCAGTGAAGATGGCAAAAGCAGCCCCAGGCAAATCTGTGATTCTGTAGCATTGCTTGCGCGACTTCGCATGAAAGGAACCTCCAATGATCTCTAGTGCTAAACATATATACAAACGACTGACAACCATATAATATACTATATGTGCGGCGGCATTTATTTGGTACTACACTCAAATACACCAAATCTATTATGTGGGGGCCCTATCTCGTTTAGACTACTTAAGTAGGAGGTCATGTCACAGTATCTCGTTCAGACTACTTTAGCGTCATCAAACAAAAGTATCTCGTTTATGTGGAGGCCCTATCTCGTTCACAAGCGAATACTGATGATAGACAAGCAAATAGAGCACGCCGTAGACTACTTAGTAAAACCTAACTAAAAGTGGTTGCTCATATATATTGTTTGTCCCATCCACTGCTTGCTGTCCTTGAGGAGAATTGTTCTCTTGCACTTACTGCGACACCGTGAGATACCCGTCATCTAGACTGCTACTCTCCACTCTTTTCTGCTTTTATATCTGGATGATGGTTAGCAGAAACCTTGACTGAAGATCACAGACACCTGGGAGGCTGGGAGTTCACATTCTTCCCATCGCTGACCGGGCGGGCGGCGGAAGGTATACGCCTCCCGGTCAACTGTGAGCCCTCCGGAAGGCATACACCCGGAAAGCCCTGTGCTTGGCTGGAGTCGCCTGGCGCAGAAGTAGTTTGGGGGTGATGTGCAACAAGCAAGAAAGCCAAAGATAGGGGACATCTCAGGAAGGAAATAGATGCAAATCGAGCCTATCAAATACACGAACATTGAAGGATCGTTTAAAGTCTAAAACATTCCAAAACAAAAACATGAACATGAACAGCAACATGTTCCGCTACCCTTGAAGTATACTTCCACTCAATGATCCGTAACCCCAGAACGTGCTTGTCTTGTGTTGGACTCACAGGAACCGTTCTCCACCAGGAAGCACCAGGAACATGCGGAGCCTCGCCATCTTGCCACTCTCCAACATGGCACACCCGGGTGTGAGATGGTGTGGGATCACCGGACCGACCGAGCGGCAATCGGAGACGGTGTGGAGACGCCCCTTTGCAGCGGTCCGGAACCAAACCATGGTCGGACCGCCTCGGCGGGGGAAGTTTGGAGCAAACTTCTGCATGGTTCCTCCATCACCCAGACACCCATTAGGACTTCCGAGAAACGGCCAGAGGTGGTTGACTGGGGGTCAATGGGGTGGGTCCGGCAGTCCCATGGGTCGTGTTTAGGTAATGGGTAGCTCCCCAGGCAGGGAGACCTCCCCAGGCAACTTCGACGTCGTTGTGTCGAGCCAGCGAGCCATGGCGAGCCTACATACGGCAAGGGCCAGGGGGTCTCCCCCCGGAGTTGATACACACCTTGAATACCAAAGATGCCAAGAAAAACAAAGAACTTTCCCTGCAACTTGGTTTTCTAGGCACACCTATTCTCCAGACTAAGTCCCTGCCATGGCGACAAGCTGCCACAAGCTGGCCATGGCTCTTCGGCCTTGCAAGGGACGTCGGCTGAGGTTGTACTGCTCAGTGCAGGTGTTGATGTATACCTGGACCCTCCAAGGGGTGTCCAATGGACTACCCCACACTACCTATAGGCTTCCATTGGGCACCCCTTGGAGGGTCCTGGTATATGTAGAAATGGTCCTGAAATAAGTTGAACATGACGACACATGACAATATCCTATCCAAGACCAGCCGTATCCGTTTTTGTTGTGGAAGAGTCAAACAATTGGCAGCATTTTTGCGGCTGCAAATGTCTGAAAACTTGTATGATAATGTCACGCCATGGATGGTCTGGGTGGTCTGGATAGCTTTTGAGGCTTCATGGGGTCCACTTCCATCCTCCTCAAGGCGCTGGGCGGCGCTCCGGCCACGCGAGCTCCGGGTCCGATGTTCTCGCCCACGGAGAGGGGAGAGGAGATCGACTGCGTGGGGTTCAAGCGAAAAGGAATCAGGATGATTCAGGATGAGTCAGGATGATTCCCGATTCGACACTCCAGCAATCTGTCTTCAACGCCCGAGGGAAAATCATATAACAGGTGGTCTAAGCGGTCGACACCCAGGTCCACCTCGCCGCTCATCTCAGGGTCGGACCTGCCTGTATCACATCAGCAAAGCGGCTGTAGAGGACCCAATCCTGAGGACTGGAGCATACAATCCGTCCGTGATTCACAGGCGCTGCCTGGCTACAACTGCAACTTATTTCTTGCTTTCGCGTTGAGTGTGCTTTTCACAAGGCACATCAGGTTCAGGGATTTCTGCTCAGCCACCGTTCCATTCGACATTTGGTCCTCTCTCCTTTCCAGCTCCAGCTCCAGTCTGCCTAGCAGCTCGGCCACATGCGATCCGAGCAGCCTGGTTTTGCGTTCCAGGCATGTCCTTCCAGGAGGCGGTGAAGACCTGTAGACTGTGGCAGCGAAAAGGAAGCCCCAAACGGTGCACGGCTTCAGGACGCCCAAGTGTTCGCCGACTCTCTTGGAGCCGGGGGGCGAGTCTAGGGGGATTGCATCTCAAAGACACCTGAAAAGCCCGGGAGTGAGAGAATTGAACAACCGTGTATGACTGACTTGAACAAAATGGACGATGTCATATAGCTAATCCCAGCCGAGGGGCCATTGACAAAAAAGATCAGGAGATCTACTCCCTTTTTGGTACGTATAGTTTGGAACCATCTTTTTGAGAGCGCGGGCCGTGTCTTGACCCCCCCAAAAAATTGGTTGCCCATGATGCATCCACTTGCTGCACTGGGCCATACGACGTAGCTAAGGTCGACCAATTCGAGCTCACTCAGCTCCTGGACACTGTGTGTTTCACGTGTGATCATACGTGTGATCACACGTGAACCCTTTGTGTTACACGCGTTGCGTAATCCTGGGTGCGAAGTGCTAAAAAATGGCTGATATCATTTTATGTTATATATATATATTAATAATATATAACATTATATGACTTACATAGCTAATATTGTTATAATGCGTATATATATATATACTGTATAAACTATTCTTATCATTTTGTTGCAGGGTTTTAAACAAGTCTGGAGTCTGGAGCCTGCATGGAATCGCGTGTGGTCTGGTGCCCTGCCCCACCCAAGGGCAGGAAACCTCCAGTTTTTCGTCTGGCCTCCTTTGCGTACATTGGCCTTCATCAACCCACATACTGTCACGTCATATTCAGCCCAGTACTCTATGCGCTTCCCCTCACCATTGCTCATCGTCGGCCTCGTATGCACTGGTGGGCCAACTGCTGTTTTCCAGGAATCCCGCAAACACTGCTGCTACTCGACAGTCTCGCACCAAACCTGAGGAAATCTGGAGTCTGTTTCGTGGCACGTGACTCCTAACGAGATCTGCCTAAAACAAAGCCATACTGCAACTGCTCCATCCTAGGGTCAAACTGGTAAGACCGGCGGTGATTTGTTCATGGCTCGCACCAAACCCATCCAAACTGATTGACTTCGGATGTCTTTCTGTGTGACAGGTTATCTCACAAACACCCAGCCCATTCGCTGACAATATCCTCGAAACTTGAGAGATCCTACAGGGACTTGAGAGACTGCCGCGGTTCGCATCCAAGCGTCGAACCATGGGGCAGGCGGTGAACCTGGAAGCGGCTTCTGTGACGCGCGCCTTCTTTCAGAAGAATCCGTAGAGCGCGACTTGTGGTCTTTGTCTGATACAGCCCATGTTAGGCAGTAAACAGCGAGCTCAGGGCCATCTCAAGCCACAAGGATAAGGAAGAAACGGTTTGAACTTGAACACACTTATGCCATACTGGTGGTTTGGTGGTTTAAGTTTCAAGCCATTTCAGCATGCGAGGGAATACAGTTTTTGGTAATGTTTTCTATAACACGAATTGCTAATTGCTATAATATATATGTAATCATTTAGTATGGTCATTGGGGGTTGAATCATCCGAGCTTGAGCGGTTTGGCTGTGACCGGTGCTTGTCCAGCGAGCTTTCTGGCTGCGAATGTCGTGGGGCCAACGGTTGGGATCTCAGGCTACCTTGCCACCCCGTGGGACGACCAGGTGGGACATGGTGGGACAAAGCAAGCAAACCAAAGGACGAAGAAAAGCAAAGAGAAGAAGTCACACACATACCTAGCGCAGTGCCCGGTGTGGGTGCCCTGTCAGGAGACCTGTTTACGTAGTTTTTAGAGATATCCAGCCAGGTGACCCCGAACGGAAGCAGCTGGTAGAGATGTCTCATCCCTGTATGCAAAGATATACCCAGACACTCCATGGGACTGCCATATATGCTTACATTGGGGTGGTTTTGGGGGTCAATGTATGGCATATATGGCATATGGCATACATGGAGTGTCTGAGATATGAAGGACGACATGTTTCATCCCCGTCATCCCTCTCGACCGAGATCGATGCCGTTTCTCATGGACCCGGAAGCCACACGGTCCACGATCTACCATGCCACGGACGCCCACCGCGGTCACACTCCAAGTGTTGGGTCGAGAAGAATCATAGTCACATGTCTTCAGCTCGCAAAACCTCTGTGGCATCTGCCTGTAGCATCTGCCAATCTCTCAAGTTGCTCACATGCGTTTCACCCACATTCCATGTCTTGACTCTCCAAGCTACATGCTATTGAACGCTTCTGGCCCAAGGTCAGTCTCCGTCACCAGCGAGCCGTTGGAGTGCAAACGCAGATCCACTGCAGAGAGCCACTGCTCCTGACCCACCACTCCCACCACAAGAACCCCCCAAAGAAGGAGAATCAGCTGTGCACAGCTGATGGAGGCAGGTAGCCTTACAGGGTTTGCTCAGGAAGTGCAAAGGGAATAGGAGCGATGCAGCGTGCGAATCGCCTGGTCTCCACACCTTATGTTTTTTTTTTTTCGAAAAAGGGTTGGGCTTGGGAAGTCCCTGTGAATGATGACAGAGTCAGGAAAGCGACTCCGCCACCGTCCTTCCGTCCCCGGAGCGAACGCACCGAGCTCGCGAACGCATGGGACCATGCGGATGACCTGCGCCCTGAAGAGTTGGGAGCTTTCCACATCCAGCCTCCAGCCCTGTTAAGGGGCTGATATAACGGAAAGAAGATGAAGAAGCCTCTTTCTTCCCAGCCTCTGGTTCACCAGCCGAGAGGTAGAAGCTGCCCAAGAAAAGGGAGCAGGGAAGATAGCCACAAATCCTGCAGCAACCAGGGTTTCCGTCTCAAAAGCACGTCAAAGGCAGCGGTCTGTCCTGCATCAAATCATTCCCAAATCAAGCTAATCCCTTTTGACATCCTGAATCTTTTTGGGACAATCGCCTGTATTGGCTGGTTCCAGTGTTTTTGTTTTCTGATTGGCCACCGCAAGTGGTGCATTCCGTGCATGCCACAAACAGCAAAATCGGCTGTTACGTTCGTGAATGACCGAGGACGCGCGCAGTCCGTCAGGCACCCAACCGATGCTCTGGGAAAAAGGTCTTTCTGTCTGAAAGTAGAGTATGAGTAGTCCCAACACAACAAGTAAAGAGAGGAAAAACGCATGCTGACATTGACAGCCACTGGTCCAATCTCTTTTTTGGCGGATGACCAATAAACCAATATCCATGATCTAAGCTTTGTCTGCCTTCTTCGCCGGTTGCACTATCTGGACCCTGCAAAAGACGTCTTCGTTTCCGGTGGAGCATGGTGGAGCAATCTTCAGGCGAAGTCAAGCTCGACAAACCACACAACAAGCAATTGTGGTGTCGATATGTGTTTCTTCTGCGTTGTTTGTTGTCACTTCTGCGTCATGTGTTCTATCGCGAACTTGCTGCATCTTTCTGCTTCATTCATGTTTTGCAGCTAGACAAAAAATAACATGCAAAAACATCGTTTCAGGGTCCAGGTACAATAAATATCATATAGGCTATAGGCTATAGGTCCATAATAAGTATATAGCTGTATCCTGCAATGAGGGGCCTCTTCCAGGCCGCTGCAACATGCTGCAACTCAAAACCGAACGTTCGACCCGATCAATGGACCATGTTGCCCCGTCCTGACGCTTCCGTTACTCGTGTCGCTTAAGGGAGAAAAAAAGAGGGGCAGGAAGCTGACTGCTGCAAAAAGAGCAAGTAGCCTTGGCCAGGCGGAAAGCGAATCGTTCGAACGGGCAGCCGGGATTAAGATGTCTTAAGGCTGATTGAGAATGTTTGAGCCCCCAGGTGACTGCTTTGCGTGGGGTTATGGACTGGGTTTGTCTGGAAAGCGAGCGGCACAACATCATCAACATGTTTACAGTCGCTAACTATGCTAACGGGCTACATCCCCCAATTGTAATACAGTCACGACAGAATTTAATCTTCTACACACCCTATAACATTCGGATCTATAGTGGATCTATGGCCTGTATGGCAAACTATGGCAAATCTGTTGATATTCTAAACAAAAAAGAGTGACAATTACTGAATCGACAACGCAAGGCGATCGTCCCATACCCGGTCGATTCCCTTACTGTTTCGGTGCAAATGAACAAAGTGACCCGTCTTCTCTTCTCCAAGAAACAGCAAGTAGGAGTAGAATCGGAAGAAGGTCCCGCAGCCGCTGCCAAACTCTGAGGTGATTCGTTGGACCTGGATGGCTCGAGGTCCCAAAAAACGAGCACCTCGAGGTATGTCATGTCGACGAGTTTCTACCAAACAAATAAACTATAATGGATTATAATGGTACAGGTCGTCATGGCAGTAGTCTATTTCAAATAACCTTCACCTCGTTCTGTTGATTGGTTCAAAGATGTTCAAAGTATAGGCCTCATTGGTTCAAAGGTGGTCTAACCTTGAAAGAAAAACCCCAGCGACCTGAGAACACCCGACCCCAAGGGCGGACCGATCGTCGGACGCCCATCGGGAGTGATTGGTCGGTCAATAAGGCGGGTCCAGGGGGGAGTGATTGGTAGGTCCTTCATGTGTGGGTTGGGTTTGTTCGAACCTGTTCTTGAGAAGAAACCCCTGTAAACCCACGTGCCGGATTCCGAGCCACATCGGACTGCAGCGGAATGATGGAGTGTGCAATGGTCACCATGAGGCTCCCCACTCGCGACCTGATTCGCCAGCGAAGCACGGGTTTCGCTGGATGCCGGAGCTGGTAGCGGAAAGCTGGTAGGTGGCCATGGTTGATGCTTCGCGGATCGAGGAAGTCCAAACGGTTTAAACCACCAAACCATGTATGGAATATAGATGCCTACATTGACCCTCAGGTCAACCACCCCAATGTAGGTAAATAGGCCAGTCCCACATGGATATACACGTTTTTACCACATTGCGTTCCGCAACTGGCTGATCCTCCCGCTCAGGATCACACTTCAGGATCATGTTCGCCGCCATGTCGATGGGGTTGTGCTCCTCAGTCCAAAGATTCTGCATGATTCTCCAGTTCCTAAGGTCGATACAAAGTCCACACGGAGAATATTCATATCCGAAGCTAGAACCTAAACAGATCCAAACATCCCGGATGCCATCAGCCTCTACTGACACCCAGCAACGGATCCATGCTCTTGCTCACTGGATGAACCCCGATTGCAAATTCGGTCACATTGCAGTACATGGGTCACGCAGTTCTGCCTGGACTGAAGTTTCACTCAATCTTTCACACGGAGCGGCGCTGAAAAAAAAGAACCTCAGACCTTCCATCAAAGCGCTTTGAGCCTTTGAAGAGCCAACGTAGATAGGGAGGCATTTCTGATCACACATGGCTCTCCCAGCTTCAATCAGTTTCTAATAGTCCTTAAGATGCATCGAGAATCAATATGACCCGGGCCGCATCGTCCTGCGTTTTTCATCACCGAGTCTTCCACACCGCCCATCGCGCCCGCCCGCCGCCTGCTCTGTGGCTTCCATGAGCTCCAGCCCTTCTGCCCCGATGCGCATGGACGCGCGGCCGCGGTTGGCACGGGGGCCTCGCAAAGGGCGGAAACGGGTGGAAAAGTGGTTGAGGTGTGTTGAGGTGCTTGGAGTGGATCTGCGGACCAGGTCTAAACAACATTAAACAACTTTGCAGCGTCGAATTCTGAAGAACCTTTTGAAGGAGCTCTTGCCCTTTAGAATCCGGTTTTCTGGTGTTGGTGGGTTTTCAGGAAAGCGGTCACCAGATCATGACCAAGCGAGGTTGCCCAATCCACACGTCAAATCAGGCTATCCGATCCCCATCCCATCCCCCTCTCCACCCCCCCCCCCCCCCGAGACAGGCACAGACAAACGCCCACCCCACCCTCTGGCGATATCTCCATCCCCACATCTCCTCCAGTGGAGAGCGTCACGGCCAAGGAGTGATTCGCTTGCCGCGTGACGCGCTGCAAGGCTTTGTCCTTTTCCGCCTGCCCACAGGGAGAGAGACAGCCTCGACTCGCGTGGAGAACCGCTGGAGAACCGCTGGTCGTTTGATTGGCCAAAGGAGAGTCGTCCGGAAGTGGACTGAACAAAACAACACTCGGTTCCTTGGTGTGAACCCCGGATAAAGATATCAAGTACCTCTCTCCCCCATATTGGGACCTCCAACCAAACACATCCACGTAAATGACCACAGTGCCACAGACTGTCACGGTGGAGACCCACGCCACGTCGGTCACCCAGGTGCCGATGTGATTTCTCCGCTGCAAACAGTGTAGGTGGCCACGTGTTTGGTGGTTTTTATCATTTGGAGGTCTTTAGCATCATATCGGGATAGACATAGACATGTCACATATGTCAGGTCGACATAGAATGATTTACAGGTCAGTCGTAGTTTTGCCATGTTTGGCCATCTCTGACCTTCTGACCCACTATACGCGCCCCCAAAAAGGGGCCACCGTCAGCAGGGTCCTTTCACATCGCACCGTCAGCAAGGTACTCCCCATCAAACACGCGCGCCGCGAACTACCGCGCGGCGCGCGTGCCGCGCGGCAGCTCGGGCCGTTCGATCCGAGTTGTTCGGTGCCTCGACCTGAACTTTCAGCTCCTTACTTCTCTCCTGGGGCGCTTGAGAGCAGGGGGAGGGCCGCTTTCCCCGGATCGATCATCCGTCATGATCCGAGACGAGGGGCGCCGGCCTGGCGCCCTGGCCCGAGGTTTGGGGGGGGAATCCGAACTGCGTGGTTCGTTTTCCAGCAAAAGGCCATACCCATCGGATCTTCTCTTCACTGTACTCCAAATCACCACGAAAAGTGCTGTTTGCACCTCACACCCAACTACTATAAGTACACCCAACTGTTCACCCACCAGCCTGCTGACTGGCCCACGTGGCATTCCCATGAACCCGGTCCGTCCCTGTTCGCACGCCCCCCACGGGCCGTCCTTGAGCTCGCGGCGCTCGGTGCGCCAGCGCTGCTTCTCGTTGGCCGCGAAGGCGACCAAACCCCTGGGGCTGCCGATGACTGCAGAGTGGCGGCAGTATTCGTTCTGAAACATGACCTCTGCCAATAACTCATGTTGGGGTCCTTATAGCAGTACACCCATGTATTATACCCCCAGATTAGTTTAAAATTAATCCGCATACCATACATCAAAAAAAGCAAAATAATGCAGATGTGTTGAGATTTTGGATTAATAAGCAGAGGGAAAAGTGGCAGTGGTAGGTATCCTTAAGCAGGCGAAAAATAAAGTACCTGCAGTATATATATATATATATTGATTGTATAAATTTGGAAATGTTTCGGCTGGATACCACGCCATTCGCAATCCTTCAAAATCAGAGGGGCGGCAAAGACAAAAACATGTTGAAATTATTCTGCTGGTTGTTGACATCAGGGCAAGGGCTGGAATAAAAAACTTGACATGTTACATACTGCCAGACTAATTTCTAAAAAAGAACACAAATGAGAATAAATGATTGAATTTGCAAACATATCATTTATTGGCGCGTCAATTACATGTTACATTCTGCCAGGTTAATTTCTAGCACAGCATTTTCTAGTCCGCATTAAAATATTAATCCGACAAATGCAGGGGGTCTACCCCCCACCCCACCCCCCAGAAAATTAATCCTGTCAAGTAGTCCAAAAACAATTATCCAGTAGCCGACATGATACCCAGGACTAATTTTCTGGGGACCCATGCAAAATAACTATATTCAAAAAGATCTAGTGTTTCAGGGCGCTGCTCTTCTCTAATCTTCTTGACAGAACCCATTTGCTTCATGTTGCCCAGAATCACCCCGTTCTAAAGCCCGACCTCATGTGTGCCAGCTTGGCGCGCAGGATCTTCACCAAAGGCAGGTAGGGTCCATCCAGCGCCAGTTGCACCGACCTCGACCCAAAATTGATCCAGCCAATGAGAATGGAAGAGGACAAAATAAAGTGCTTGCCAAAGAGGATGGATGGGCTTTCCTGCTGAGTTTTGTCTTCCGCACACATGTTCTTCTGCTTTTGCAGTCAGGACGGGACACGGGATGCTCTTGCTGCGTCGTCTTCTTTTCTTGGTGATATATCCCAGACACTCCATGTATGCCGTATATGCCTACATTGACCCCTCAAACCACCCCAATGTAGGCATATATACCATACATGGAGTGTCTGGGTATGATATTTGTTGTTCCCATGTCCATCCGCAACTGACCCATCACATCTGAATATGTCAACAAGTTGACCCATGCAGTCGTCCATGGACGCACCGCTAACTTACACTCCCACTGACTAACATGGAAGCGGAAAAATGGCCCCTGACAAAGCCACGTTCCTCTACTGACCACTGCTTTCTCACTTTCATGCGATGTGTTACAGTCGGAGTGCGAGCAGCCTTTCGAGCTGAAAGGGTCATGCCTGCCAGGTCCGACTGTCACTGAACCCCACCTGCACATGTCTCGCATTGGCCAGCTGTCATCCTCCATACCTGGGTCGACATCGCCCAAACCCGGTGGACAGGAGCGAGAGTTTCTCTCTCCGATCGTGGGCACCTGTCGCATGGACAAAACAATGTGACGCAGGGTATTCCATGCTGGGAAGCTTTCGGTCTTCTGATGCGGTTTGAAATTCAACTGAACACCAGTTGCGCCGTTGAGGCCGACCAAAATGTTGAACACCAAATGAACTGGTGACAACTGCTGTTGTACCGTTAAACATGTGGCTCCAACAAACACAAAATGATTGAGGTATCTTCAGCCATGAACGTCTGTCAGAGTCAGAATGCTGGTGATGTATGCAAGCAAGCACTCACAAGATGAATGGCAAAATCATGTAGTGCTGTTTTCTGCCCCCCCCCCCAAAAAGAATAGATCCATGAAGATTGTCAGATCCTCTGCATTCCTTCCACTGCCTCAACCTTGAAACATTCGATCCGGGCATAAGTGGGCCAATTCTGCAACCGCTTAGCCACCCTGCATATCAATCAAAAGAAACAGAAACAAAACAGCCCTGAGATGGACAAGCACATCTTGAACTCCTATCTGCTGTCCACTCTCCTTCCCTTCACCTATGACCCAAACCATCATATATCCTTTCCACTTGTTCCACCAAGCGGCTGTCCAGGTTCACCTCAGGCTCTTCCGGCACCAGCTCCTGTCTTTTGTGCGAGCAAACATCACCGGCAACATCCCCAAGGAATCTCTTTCGGGCATTGGTTCACCTTTTGAAAGGTCTCGAGACTCAAATAAGTGAGTTATACTGTTATACTGTTATTATACTTACAAAAATATCTGCAAAGCCACAGCAAGTCATTTGCTCCTCCCAATCGCATCACCTCCAGTCCTACAGCGTCCTTCAAACCACCTCGCTGTCCGACCCTCGAAACCCCGAGGCGCCGGGTTGGAGGGTCCGCCTCTCCTGAACCAACTCATCTTCAAAGACCCAATCGTGGGGAGCATGGCTCGGCGCTTCCACGCCGGCCGAGGGAGCGCCTATCGGCCGCGGTGCCGGCGTAGGACAAAGCAGGACTCGGAGGACTTAGCTGTTTGCGACATGTTCTTCCTGAAATCGTTACAGGTTGGGTTTGGCTCATCGGGCTGATTGGTGGATCTAAAGGAGGTTGGGGATCGTCATAGAGCTGAATCTAAGGTCTTTGATTGAAAGTTCCGACATGCTAATCGTTTTAAGTGGTTTGTTAAGATGGGATAAAGGGATTCAACAAAGGGGGAAACAAATCATCCTGAACCTGAATATTCCAATATGGTTGTGGTTCTTTTCCTTTGGCCTTCCGTGGGTCAGTGTCATCGGTCTCAGGTTCTTGGCGTTCTGTCAGAAAGTCAGGTACCAAAAATCTCTCAGGAGTCACATTGGACAGAATCGACTCACAAAAGCTGAGGATGATAATGATATAATCGGTAGAAGAACTTAATTAATGCGTCTTCATGCGTCTTCAACACCCTCAGCGAATCCTCCAGACCCGACCCGTTCCGAATACGAAAGAGACCGAGAAGCGTGAAGAAAGAGACCAAACCGAGTGCCCTGCCATCTAATACATCTATCATCATGTACACTGTGTCATCGTATGTCACTGTGTCCATTGTGACTGATCCACATCCTTTTGCCCAGATATTTGGTCATATCTCCCAGACTGTCATATATGCCTACATTGACCCCTCAAACCACCCCAATGTTGGCATATATGCCATACATGGAGTGTCTGGGTATCTGGTGGGTTGCCCCATGCATTTTCAACGTCTCAACGACATGTGGCAAGTTCCCCCCATGCAGACGACGTGTTTCTTGCCTCGACCGACCTCCCGGGCCGAAGGACACGCCGAAACCGGGTCGCGCCTGTGGATGGGGGTCGAGGGTCGCGGGGGAGCTCTGGCACCTGATCTGGGAGGCCGCTGAACTTGCCTGGCACCCTATTTAGCATCGACCCAGACGGTGTTTTCTGTTGCGTGCTCATCTTTTCAAGATCGTACCCCCTCAGTTTACACCCGTTTCTCAAATTGAGTCATCCAAGATCATCATGAGTGCATACCCTTCAAAATCACTGCTTTATATGGGAAGATCAAACCGGGGGTTTCTGGCCACCCGTTTCGGCAAAAACACCCGTTTCTCAAAGGCTCCAGGCTCCACGGCATCTACTTCCAGCTATATGATATGCCCAGACGCTCCTGGACCCTAATATGGAGGGGTCAGGGGTCTCAAATCTATATGGTTTTGAGGGACCAAGGGCTGTTTGGAGCGTCTGGCTGAACGCTTAGTTTGTTTATGTTTGGTCTCTAAACATGGGGTGCACGAGGAAGCCGCATTAATGAAGAACAGTGAGAGCATTTACTGTATGTGTAGGAATACATGGGACAGTTATGGAAAAAACAAAGATTTATGTAACCTCCAAAACAATTAATCACCCAATTCCGCTATGTTCAGGTCTGGGATTGTATGTGTTTTTTGTCGTGAAACCGAAGGAGAGGTACATGTCAAGTACACAATTTGATGCCCCCATGCCGCACCCAAAGTAATTAATGGACTGACCTGATACGGCGGGTAAGATGAAACATGCCCCAATCACGGAGAGAGTGATTCTTAGATTGTGTACGGAATCCAATAACTTCTAAAGGCCCACTGGCGATCTCAACCCAATCATTATTGTGCGCTCAACGAAGTCGTGCTCATGATTCATGATCCCCTGCTTTCGCCTCAAATCCCCATGGAAGCAGACGACTGTCCTCTAGAGAAAAGAGGTCAACAAGTTCACTTCCATGTAACACACGTGAAGTGTTTGTCAGAGTGTAATAGTTGGCCACCTCCTCTTTGTGCCAAAGCACAAAGGGCCGTGGCATGCCACAGCTGCGACAGAACTTCGCACCTGGCTCGTTGGAGAAAAATCCTTCAGGATACAGTAGACCCCAATAAATAGAAAAGTGGATCCCCATTTAATGTACTTATTGGAAAGCGTTTCTATCTACTTGTGGACCACTATAGATGCTTTAAGTAAAACGGTTGTATGATGGTTTACATACAAGCTCATCCCACTCTCATACACCCTGCAAGAAACATGCATCCACACGATCGTCTGGTTTCAAGAGGCAACAACAAAAACCAATGTCGTGTCTCCACCCACAAACCAGAAACTGAACTCTGATTCATTTGCCTCACCTTTTGCACTGAATCATAAGAAACACAATCCAATTCACTTGCTTTGCATATCACTTAGTAGAACTGATGTCTTGAGTGATTGGTGCTCAGACCGGTGCGGCCCAAAAAACCACTCCAAAAGGTTATTTTTTGCAGCATCTCGCCATATCGCAAGCGCAAGCGCAAGCGCGTCCCGTGGTGGAAGCCGTGATCGGTTCTTCACTTGGGCCCCCCCCCCTCCCAGAGGTTGAGAGACCAGAACGTTCGGACCCTGGGAACTAGTGGTACGTCATGGGATGGGGCACGTACCACTGGCTGTTCAACCTCTCTTTTGGTCTCTTTTTGGGACGTGTGGGGGCGCCTTTCAAGTATTGGCTCTCGCAGTTGTAGCACGTCAAGGCCTGGCTGAGTCGGAGCCGGCGGAGCCGGAGGCGAGGAGCCGGTGTTGGAGAGGAGGATGTGGTGCATGGAGAGAAGAATTGGAAGGTGCCACTCGTGTTTGTTAAGCCTATAGTCTGGGTGTCTTGGCTGGACTACCCTACACTGCCATCCGGGATCTCCGTTGGATACCCAGACAGGATGGTGGCAGGTACATGGTATATATAAGCCTATATAATCCCGACCTGATTGCAGATGATGCCTGTCTCCACAGCTAGGTGGTTTCAAGTGTCGGCTTGCTTTGGAAGGAACCACCCAAGGACCTGTGATTTATAAGACTGACCTGCTGATGCCTGTGCATCTGTCGGCCAGTCATTCAGCCAAATCCTTCGCTTCCCACCGCACCTCTCATTTTTGTTCACTTGTGCCCAGTGCTCATGTCCGCATCCTTCAAGAAACCCATGTCCTTGCCAGCTCCATCAATCGATTGATCCTCACCACCCAAACGACCACCGGTACGCGGTGGCAGTCGCGCGGTACGCAGTGGCCGTATATACCGCGCGCGACTGCCGCGCGGTACCCGCATGCGGCCTTGCGAGGCTTGCCGCAACTTCCACAGAAGTTGGAGTCTTGGGAGTACTCCCCTTGACACCTCGGCTGAGTACTCTTCCCGTGTTTGACACGGGTTAAGCACGCGCCAAGCAGGTTAGGAGCTATTAGGTTAGGACGGCGGTTGGTTTCAGGTTGTTGGAACCAAACAAACAAGAATTGAGACGACAGTAGCTGGAAAGAACATGTAGAGACCAACAAAGGAGCCCCAATTCAAACATATCAAGACAAGTGAACACCCACTGAGCTGCTATGACACCAAATCTATCCAAATCTGTGTGGAAAATTCCAGGAAAGATCCCCTCATATCCCCTCATGCACGCAAAAGCCGGTGACAAACAACATCGACTCCACCCCTAGCTTCACATCCATCTCTTCTGGCATCTTCTGGCTTTTTCTGCTCTTCTCTTTCCCAAGAGATGGTCCATTGCGGTAACCACCCCTCCACGATGACCTTCCCCAGTCCGCTGAAAAGCGCCGCCGAGCGGCCAGGGGCATTTGGGATCCGGCTCATCCACCAGTTCCCCCAAGGCCAGCTGCAAGCGCTCGTCCTGGGCGCGAATCGCGCTTCGCCACACAGAGCGGGTGTCTTTTTTTGCGGAGCGAACTCGTGTGTTCGCCGGTCCGCGAGGATTGAGGTGGGGGCTTGTTGGGGTTGGGATCCGTTGGAGGTGGAGGTGTCCAAGGAAGAGAATCCAGGAGGCTGGATCTGAGATGATCTGAGACTTCTCCCCCCAAAATTGACGCAGATCTGCAGCAGCTCTTGGGATGTTTGAGACGAGGGTGTCTCTTGCAATCAAGTTGGATTTCAAACAGCAAACTCTCCAGGGCGAAGGGTCCAAGGTCAAGGTTTCGAAATCTTCCCTCGAACGGACCAGGTCGCAACAAGAGAAGGGGCTAGGAGAGGCTCCGCCCGAAGCACCCCTTTTTTTTCCCGGTCTGAGACCGAACCGACGGAAGTGAAGGGGCTTGGCGGGGCGAAGATGCGAAGGACTTGGGAGAGCAAAGCAGTTCCGAGAGTGGCATTCAGCGGCATCCTCACGAACGAAAGCACCGTGCACCCGTGCACCCCCCCCGGCCTCGGCGCCGCAAGTCGAAACCGTGCACCGCGAGGCACCGCGACCGCGACCACTCGGTGCACCGCGCCCGATGGGTCCTCATCCTCTTCTCCCTTCTTGCCTTTGCCTGAGTCGCTGGGTCAAACACTTGGAGCTGATTTTCCCGTACTGCGCTGAGCCGTGACCTGTCGCTAGATCTCTATGTGACTAAGTGGCCCTTCAGGACCATAGTAGCTCTGATTGGGAATCAGTCCCTAAACCTCTAAGGACCTTCGTCTCCAATCCAATTACTGAGTTAGGGTGACTTCCGGGTGAGTCGCGCTCCCTTCTGAGGATGCTTCATTGGAGTCCTATTGAGTCATGGGAAAGCAGGTTTTTACACGGCTCAACAGTCCTCCAATCGACATGCTCAGCGACCTACCTACCTCATGAAACCGCATAGGCAACCACAGCTCCACGTGGTGCCACGCCTCCTTTTTCGCCTTTGCCCTTGCTTTTACCTGTCGCAAGCAAAGGCATGTTGTGTTGGGAATTGCCCGTGGGTACTGCTTGAAGATGCTGTTTTTGGAGCTGACGAGAACACAGACCGCCTCGCTCTGTCGAGACCAGACTGTTTCAGCCAGTCCAGTCCATCCAAAGCAACTTAAAAACTGCCCAGTAGCATGCTTTTCAGCCAGGGTGGCGACCATGTGGACCAATTCGGTGCAACAAACGGTATTACTGTTGAAATCCGTTTCTCTTCGCAGAATTCTCCCGCACCCGCATCGCAACTCCTCAGGTCGAGCAATCGATGCTCCTATTCGACGATGTGGCCCATACAACCATCCATGACAACCCCGTACGGACCAGCGGCGCGGCCTCCCATCGTCGCTTTTGGCGCAGAGTGCCGACAGGCTCGCCATGGCGAGTACAGTCCTCAAGGAGTACAGTCCTCAGATGTTGATAGATTTGGTGATTTGTTTGTTGTTTTAACTTCATCTGGCGAAATATCCCGTCGTTTTGTTTGTGTTTTGTGTGTGATCCTTTGTTACAGTAGGGTGTTTTTTTGTGGGTTATGATTGTTCTCCAGTCGGGTTCTGCAAGAATCCGGCTGATGTGCCTAATAAAACGATTTGGTCAGTCATGCAAAGACATGAGTTCACAGATATCCTTGCCGCAAGACTTGTACTGCTAAGGCATCCCCGGCTGAATGAGATGCACATCAGCCCATGAACTGCCGTGACAGGAATACAACCCCGCAATCCATCGCGCACACACGCCGAGGCGCTTTTGAAAGTGTGGCCAAGAAACTATTGAATTGCTGAAAAAATGATCCGCTGGAATGGAACAAATGAAAGTCGTCCAAACAGTAGTTCACATTTGAGCACAATGGCTGAAACAAAGTGCCCATGGATATATCTGCTCGCTGCAAGGCGTATGAAAACTCTTTTTCAGCGTTACTTTTGTGTGACCCTTTCTTCCTTTGTGAAACCAGTGGATTGAGATGGATTTGATTTGTTTGTCAAATACAAGGGGCTTATTGATCTCGGCACCAACCCACCACTGCAACAAGGTCAGTCTATGCGGGGTGTTGGCGTGATCATGCGTGATCAAAATATGTCAACCCCATCTAAATAACACAGCCAACCTCAGCTTTGGGTTTCAAAACTCCAAACGAATGAGTTGGCTATACCTCGGGATTGACACCTGCTAAAGAACAGCAAGAGGGCGGGCAAAAAACAGATGCTTGGAATCACATCCCAAGACCCGAAGGGGCATGAGCACCTGGACCCGTACAAATCCATAGATTCCTGATTTTGCCAGGGTCTTTTTTTCTTGGGAAGAGCTGCACATTTTGACTGTGTGAAAAGGAGCTAGAATTTGGTACTGCCGGAGGTTTGAGGTGATACCTTGTGGATTGTTCAGTTCATTTTGGCTCAACATCGGTTTAAACAATACAGATCACTTGGAAATGTTCAAAACAAGTGCAATGTTCATAGTGTTTTGCATCGTCCCAGAATATCCCAGAATCAAATTCGATACAACAAGTTGTTCAAATGACTATCGTTTGGCATCCACAAGCTGTCTAGTAGCCTAATCTGTTCCACCTTTTGCCGGAAGATAAACACACACACACAAACAAACAAAACAAGAAACATGTTCCATATATTTTCCAATGTAGCGGCCCAACTGAGCTGCCATACAATCCCTGATTCCCGGAGCTGGCCAAAGTCAGCACCTGGGAACATCGCATCTGGCGCCATGCAAGTCAGAACAAACATTCCATGCTTCGAAAGGAAATACCTTTAAGCGCTTTAAGAGGTGATGAGGTGCGGCTTTTGCCCTGCAAATCTGCTACTGCAGTATAGTTGCAATACTAAAGCGACTTCGACGACATGCGATCGACCTACGGTTTGTCAAGGGTGTAGGCATGTGAGTCATGATTCATTGACTAATTGGAATCTCCAATATATGTTTGAGATCTTCAGATTTGGATTCCAAATGTCTACACACCCCCGGACACAGACCGGCAGTCACCCCATCTGACTCCTGGCTTGATCAGTTGGCATAGAGTGTATAGGTGTCAAACCTGTCCCAGGTCGAGGTCGAAGTCTGTTTGAACCACCTCATTTAGGAACTCGTGCCACACTGGTGCCTTGCTTGTTTTGAGCTTGGGTTTGTCATGTTTGATTGTTTATCCTTCAGCCACCCGCGAATCCTCAAAGCACCAAAAAAAGCTTTCAAAAGCCTCCAAGACACCAACCCCAGGGATTGAAGACAACTGTGGACCATTCTCTCTCAGGCTAAACAAATCCCATTAACCTTACAATTCCAATGAACTAAACGAACTAAAACGAACTCTATCTACCCCCCTACCTTCCTCCCCCGTACCGCTGTGCCACGCTGCGCGCTTCTAAGAACCCCCGGCGGCTACTTTGCTGATCATCACCATGCGCCGCATCACCGTCTCAGAGCAGCTTCGCCGACACGCCGCAAGGGATGGATGCCGGAGGGCGGCACAACTCATCAGGTCCAGGTGCAAAACCACGTTCCGTCTGCAGCGGGGGGGGGTTCATCTCGCTCAAAACATAATATGAGCCGGATCAGTGGGCTCAAATCATCCCAAGAAAGGTTGAAAAGGGTTGAACATAATTTGTCCAAAACCACCACTCAGAATTCCACTTTCACCAGGCTCCCCACGAACTGGCTCTTCTGCAAGTCTTTGCTTCGTTCCATGCCTGCCATCGAAGCGTGTTATGATCTTTGTACTGGATATAGGCTTTTGAAATAGGAAGACCTCCCAATGAACCCCTGGAAGATGAAGGATGGTTGGGGGTCTCCCCTATTAAAAACATATGCATATCGCATATATAGTGGGCGATAAAATCATACTAGTAGTTCATGGATGTATTCGGCCGATGCAGTGAACCTGGTAAGCTTTCCTGCCATACTCTCCATCCAAACATGGGAGGACGTGTCCTCCAGTTCAATGCTCGTCGGATAGAAGCTCCCTCATCATCCGTTAGACTTCAACGGCCAACAACACGGCACATCAGCATACCGAGCACGTCGCGGCGCCGTTCGGGCTCGCACATTCAGCAATAGTCACTGACCTACGACCTTTTCGATTTTGGACGCCAAGCCATGTCATCTACGGCCGGCCGTCATCTCGTGCCGAACACCACCGTGAAAGAACACCGACATCGGAAACAACAAACATCGGAGCGCCTGTGTAGTCCGGCACCTGGCAAGAGAATGACACCAAGGCCCCCCAAAATATGACCCGGACCATCCATGTATGGGATATTTACCTGCATTTGGGGTGGTTGAAAAGGGGTAAATGTCTGTAATTATGCCATAGGATATACATGGAGTGTCTGGGTCATGAAATGTCAACCAATGATCCATGTCGGGTATGGGTTCGACCGAAGCTTCCGGGTTCGACCCCGAACTCTCGCCCCAATCCTGTCGGCTGGGTTGGTCCCGAACCTTCCAGGTTGTGACCCGGGAGCACCTCCCTATTTAGATGCATGCATATCTATACCAGGACCATCCGATGCGTGTCCTGGCTGGACTACCCTGCCATCCGGGAGACACCACATAAACACCAAACAGGATGGTGGCAGGTATCTATATCACCACATCCATATAAATGGCCGAAGTCTAGACGGATGGAAGGGAAGGGGTCGCCACGTCTGAGACCTCCAACGATCCATGGGACGCTATGGCCGATCAATTGACCCCAGGTCAACCAATCCCAATGTAGGATGAGTCTGGCCCCCAGTCCAATGAGTCTGGATTGAAACACCTGAGGTGCGCCATCATCTCGGATGAACTTTGGTGAACCCTGACATGGTTTGTGTGGATAGAATCCTCACTCAAGCGTAAGAGTGTGGATGAGTGGGGCGTTGACATAGATTAGGGCGTAAGCATCCATTTGGTCGACATAGGATTTCGCTCTTAAACTGGATCTGAATCATCTTAATGCTCATCTTAATATATTGGATGCCTTAGGTGCCCCTACCCTGGTCCCTACCTTAGGAACCCCTTGATTCATTTGAGCAAGGCATGGAATAGGAACTTCACGACATCCTAGGACTCACAGCTGCTGCATCACTGCCACAGCTGCACTGATTCAAAGGTCGTTCGTGCCTGTTACGCTGCTGAGCTGCCTAGCCTACTTCGCGAATGGGTTTGGCATTCTTTCACACACTCTATATAAGTAAACCTTTGCGAATTGGCTTCGCCTGTGTGAAATCCAAGAGCCTACGCCAGAGGCTTCGCGAGCCTCCGCCAAACATGATTTATCACTCAAATGCCTGTGCAAACATTTGGTGAGCTACAGTCCAATCAAAATGTGTTCATTCAATTAAACATGCTACTCATCTGCTCCCTGTCCAGCCTGGCTCGCATCTTCCATGAAGACCACCTGCCGACGTCTGCCACAGCAGTTTATGTAATAAACAAGAACATATATTCTTCTATATTGGCCATGCATGCGCATTCAACAACCAGGCCTGTCTAAGCTTTCCAAATCGATGGCCCACCACCAAAGGTGGCTCAAAACAGTCTGACAGATCCTCCCAAGAGAAGACAGTGACACTGGTAGAGAACATGTATACATTGATGCATCGAAATACACAACCTATCACAACCTCATCTTCGAGAGTGTCGCTTCTTCACAGACCTACGTATGGATTTCCAGGCTATACCGTTGGCCATCAGCGGCACCATGGGAACCCATCGACTCGCCATCGACTCGCCATCGACTCGCCATAGGCGCCTCATCCTCGTCGGCGCCCCAACGCTCCTTCACATCTTGGAAGATCTTCTGCTCCACGATCTGAACGTTTCGCGATGCCGGAGCATGGGACACATCCCCTTCTCCGGCGGCATTCTTGGATTCGACTCCGACGGTTTTTTAGAATACAAACCGCTGGTGTCATCTGGTGTCAAAAGAACAACTTGGTGAGCCTAGTAGCTTTGCAATGCAAAGCACGCTAGTTGAGCGTCTGCCAAAACGTACTGTCAATGGACAATTCAGCAAGATTATTGCTATTGAGGGGGGCCGGGGGCCTATCGATTTTTCAGATTTTAGCTCAATTATATACTTAAATTCACGACCGCTCTTTACTGGCTAATTTACTAATTAAATTAGTCAGTGCACGTTTTGGCGGTTGCTCAGTTGAATTTCATGCTATGACCATCCAATGGGTGTCCAAGGGACTACCCTACGTCCCTACGTCCCTACACACATTGGATGGTCCAGGTACAGCGGTTCCATCTCTGGCAACCCCGACTCTTCCTGAGGTCCGAAGAATGGAGGTTCATCCACGAGTTCAGTGGAGTGGACTGCACCTACCCGCTCGGGGTGCAACTCCGTTCGGGGTCTCGGAAATCCTATCTGGTTGGTGTTTTCAACCCACGAAAGAAAAATATGGGTCCAATCATCCCCAAGTAAGGGTGGAAAATCAAGACATATTCGATACCATCACCTAGCGTATGTCGATCTCTCTTGTACCCCTCTGTGATCCCCGAAGGTCCAGGTACAAGCAGGCATTTCATCCGGTCGAGCAAGCATCTGCCAGCAGATGGATTGGCAATGCAGCAATAGAGGTGGAGAATCTGCTCAAACAAATATATAATCACACATCATCACCAAGACCAGTCCGTGAGAATTCGCCCCACCTCATGTTTCAAACTGCTTAGTTCAGTTCACCTCACGTTGCCCGGTACCCAAAAGGCAACAAAAAGGGGTCACAAAGACCAGTAGCATCTGCACTTGCCCCTTGCAGAAAGTGGAACCTGGGTCGTTTGTCCCCACCGGTTTTCATGGACATCTTCCGTGGCCGTCCGGCGCGCCCACCCTCCCTCCCCACCCCCAAAAGCCTCCTTGGGCGTCAGCGTCGTGCCCACCCGCGCCGCCGGCACGCCGAAGAACTGGGGCGGAGCCAGAGGGATCGGAAGGCATGTTCAAAGCTACGCCCTAGGGATCCAACATACCCTCAACTACTTGGTGGGACACTTGGTAAGGGCAGCTACCCTAGTAGTTGAGGGTATGATCCAACTACATCCTCAGGTATTTGGACCCTCCTGGCACCCACCCAAGGGACGACCGGAGCCCAGAAGGTACGACTGGAGTCCTAGGGACGGAACCTGAAAACCCACCACGCCCGGCTTGTGGACATGTTGGTCTTCCTTGCAGGTCCATGCCGTTCGCCAGGTTCCATGTGGCAATATTTGGAGTGCTTTTGAAGGGTCAAAAGGGTGGGAAAGATCTCTGACATCCTGAAAACGTGTAGACTTCGTTTTGATCTATGCCATCTATGCTGCCCACAACTGCACACTGTGCTGATTGAATTCACGGCACCTGGGTGGAGTTCCGGTCCATCATGAGACCCTGGGTCAAAGAAAAAAACATATCAGCTTTCAAAGTCCAGCCATCCCAAAATTGATCCAACGTCCAGGACGCATCTTTAAAGTGCCAACAACTTCCAGTCACGAGTCGGGGTGTGATCCATGGAGCTTAGGGGTGCCGATCCACTCACGTAAGGGGATGAGTCACACCACCCAACTCCATGTGACTCCTGGTTTGGTGGCTTTCACTGGCTTGAAACCATCAGTGTTGCGGCACGAAGCCTCAATGGTTCTCCACCAGCCATTGATCCAACCGTCCACCATCTCATCCAGCCGGGCTCAGTGCTTCTCGGCTCGGTGCTTCTCGGCTCGGCTTCAATCATGCTTTCAGTGAGCCGAGTTAAAGGTGCTTCGCATGTCGACCTCTCCAGTTTGACAGCACCTAGTTAGTTAGTTTGGGGGGTGCACCAGTGCACCCCACATGCAGCTGCAGTCCGAGTCGAACACGGCTGTCGGACCGACTCACCGCCACCGACGGACCGCTCCACCGTGCTACCGTGCGCCGAGCATCCCGGTGATCCCGTGGGGACGGTGGTGGCGAGGTGGTGATCTGCCACACTCACCCAGACACAACCCATTGAGACTGGCATAATTTCGATCAATTCACCCCAACCTCAACTGATCGGTGACATATGCCAGTCCCGATGGTCAGGGTCATGCTCTGGACCAACTACCTGTCCCCCACGGGGTCACGGGGTTCGGACCGGAGCACCTCGAGGCGCTTGTGGAGGTTCATCGCTGCTGCATGGCTTTGTGTCACGCACAGCACCCGGTCCTGGCGCGACCGGAGACCGCTGACCACCGCTTGGACCAGAAAGCAAAGCACCGCTCGAGCGGTTGGGGCCAACCAGCCTGGAGGTCTTACGACGGGTACGAGTAGCACCGTATAGCAATTGGTTGGTTGTTTGCTTTGCTGCCATATTGGCCATACATGCATGGCATATGATTCAAAGAAGCGCTGTGTCCCCCATGCCGAAAGAATCTGCGCACGTGGTGGAATTCCCTTGGTTGGGAAGATGTTGAAAGGCACACCAGTCAAATGGCCACCACAGCCGCCATCCATGGTCTTCTTATATAAAAAGCCGCACCACACCCGCCATTCCTGGCCGCCCCAAGAGCTTTTGCGGTGCTTTGGGTGACCTCTTGGCCCTGTTGGCCCACCTGTTGGCCAGCCAAAAGCAGACCACTCCGCTGCGCTCAACGCGGACCACTCCGCAGTCCTCGGGCAAGTTCTCGGCCGCCGCCATCGCTGCCGCCGCTGCCACGTGCGTCTTACCGGTGCCTCAAAGCGCGCTCTGCTCAGTGGCCCCCAGGGGGTTGATGTGGCTGGTTCATGAACTTGTGCATGTGAGGTCATTTTGGAACACCGAACAAACATAGAAAGCGAATAGACACCATTAAATGTGAGACATGTAGAGACTATAGGGACTAGTCACTATAGTCCTAAAGACAAGAAACATGTTCCAGGTCATCCACGTTTGAACAACTTGAGCAGAGTCCAGCTGGTGGTCCTTTCATCCCAATCTCTGGATGGGGCGTGTCCGTCTTTCACGAAGGACCACTCGCCTGGTGGCCCTCGCACCAAGCTGCATCTCCTGGACCTCGTGTGGTCACACGGATGTCGCGGTCGACATGGACATGGATGGACTGGTCTCTCTCAATTCAATGCCCTTCATGTCGGTGACCAGCCGGGAAAATGCTGGAATCGAGCTCTTAAAGCCTTCAGAGCGCAACCCACATCAACAACCCAGGCAACCCACATCCGGTTGATGAAATCTTGCACCTCGAGAGCCAGCGAACATACGTTTTCAATTACTGTATAACGGTATAACTTTAACAATATTGTCCCAGTGCAGGCTTTGGGTCAACCAGCACCAATCGCAAAGCTAAAAGATCTCTCCTCTTGCGCCTTTAGACCACAGCGGATGGAAAAGCCATGAAGTCCAAAGGACTTCAACTTGTTGCTTGAATTTATTGGCTGTTGCCTGTCCTCTATGTGCTCCTTCCCAACAAACGGGGAAGGCCAAAAGGGGGTGCAAAACGTCTCGGACGGACATGACTGCAGCCGGAAGAACTCCGAATTGATGGCAGTGGTTCCAATTGGCTTGTTGACACAGCAAGTTGACTCCTCTATTCCACTGAGCAACATTTCAACAGCTCACCCAATCCATGAGATCCATGAATCGTGGCAAACAGATTCCATATTGGGCACACTGGATGAGCTTAGGATCCTGGATGCCAAGAAGCTCCATTGCCAGATCCTCTTCGTTCATCGGAAGAAGAATCTCAAGATCAAACAATTGTCATCTGGGTGTGTCTCAAATGTTGGGAAGTCAAGCAACCAACGGCAGCTAAAGCAAAGTTGTGAGTTGCTGGCATCCACCATTCGAGGACATCCCCTCCTGACAGGAACTGTAAAAGGCCTGCAAACGCCCTGGGGAGATATGAACGCCCAACGCTCAAACGCCCCCAACACGTCGAAGCGACGTAGCCTGGCAGTGAACACAGACTCCTTTTGGAGGCTCTTAGTGCCGGACTGATCACCCAGAACAAAAGAAAGACAAAAAAAAACCTGGCATGTAAGTGTAGAACATCAACGAATTCATCCTGTGACCAGCATCTTTTGTAACATGCCAAGTGCAAACGTACCCTGGTAGCCAGTGTGACGAAGGGGTAGCGGTAGAGCACCCGGTAGCGCTTCGATGGACCGGACATGGACCGTGCCGAACTCGGCGGCGTTGAAAGGAAACCGACGCATAGTCGGGGTGTTGTATATGAATGAAGTAGTTACAGTCGTCGACTCCAAAAAACGCATATGACAAAAGCATTGAGATCCTTTTCGAACCCAAAAATACCATAAATACCCTTATGTGTTATGTTTCGCTTATGTCTGGGGTAGCAAGAATGGTGTCTACTTGTGATGCAGGATATCACTTTTGTCCATCCATCGACGGAACAGAATACTCCACTGGATTCTTGTATCATTACACAGCATTTGACATATCGCAGGTTGTGTTCAATTTGTTCCGTCAAAAAGATGCTCGCTTGTTTCAAACACCCTCCGGAAAACATGCACGCACCAGCTAGGTGACACCTGCAAAGAGTCATGTGATCCATTTGCGAGAATCCATCAACCCAGCCAACATGTTATTTAAAGACATACACATCAAATAGTCATAAATAGTCCCTGTCCATATAATATATGGATGCGGCCGCCAATTAGGATGTCAGTGTCGGTGTTCCAACCCCAAACATCAAATGAAAAGGAAAGAAGTTCAGAACTGTGGATGCCTATAGGACCGATGCCCATACTGTAAATCTGGAGTCTGAACATGTCTGAACCCAAACAACGAGCATGGAGCCTTCAGACCGGCAAAGATCCACTGCCACACTTGGGCCACGCCCACGCTCGAGTAGAGTAGATCATAAGTTAAAAATGATAAAGTATGACAAACCCTACGGCTCCAATCATACCTTCTGAGAAGGTCTTTGAGGTGGGTGCCAGGAGGGGCCAAATACCTTCTAAGAAGGTCTTTGAGGTGGGTGCCAGACGGTCCAAATATATACCGAACCTGAGGAGGTACGGTACCTGGAGCCCCTTTAGGGAAGAGACGCTCTGTGGGAACGGCGAGTGGTTCTTCACTACTCCTTGCTGCTACATGGTACACGATTTCTGCATGGATATGTTGCTCCTGGTCACGGTCAGCTTCTGAACAAGGAGGCTGTTGCATGGAGTGGCTCGTGTGGTGCGTGGAAAATTCATAAAATAGCAGGATATTCGCACTGGCCAGAGGACTTGTGAACAACATCAAAAACAACTTGTCAGAACCTCAGCTCTGTGGCTTCTGCAAACTTTGTTGCTTCTTGTTTCATGAAGCCTGGTACAACCAAAAAGAACATCCGTCCAAACCGTCCAAACCGCTCCAACATTCGTTCAACACGAGTCCTCTGGGCAGCCAGATATGGTACCCAGGGCAGCCAGCTTCATGGCAGAGACAGCTTTGTACAGTTTGCACAGCTTTGTACGCCGCTTCGCCCTGGTGAGTCTCCCTGCCGAGGAGTCCGACTCATCGTTTCAGGGGGTCCTTCAAGTCCGTCAGTGGTTCAGGAAGAAAGCGAGGTGACAAAGTACATGGCCCGTGGAGAAGTCACGCGTTCATCGCGTCGCTATGCGTTCAAGGGAGACGTGATCCTGTTCTCTTTGCTTGGACATGTTTGAATGGGAAGCCCCTCCGTCATTCAAACGTAAGGTGGAGGCTGTTGCACAGTCAACGACAGAGAATGTGTTGGGAACATGTTCCAAAACAACATTTTCTATAACAACAATCGAACAATTGACCGATTGAGTGCCTGTCTTTGGGTCACCAATGCACCAACTATGGATACCTCAGCCTCTCATCATGACCTGAACCATGCATGCATCACCTGATTTTTTGGAATTGCAGGAAGACCAACTTTGCAAAGGAAGTGGGTACAGCTCAGGCGCTTTTCGACCTGAGAACCCAAGCGGCCACGGCCCAACTCAGCTCAATACAGCACATTGGAGAAGTCCTGGGAAAGCATGGAAAATCATGGACACATATATATATATATATATAGGAACAAGAAGCTACTAGCGGCTCCTTGCATCGCTACGAACGGAGCACTACTAGGGGCTCCTGGCCGGGACCTCGACAAGCAACCGAGGTTGTCCAAGCAACCTCGGGGTATGGGATAGGTATGAACATGGTCAGAATCTGCCCGAGCCCCTGTCCTGGCCTCCAGTCTTCGATGCTTCGACGCGAAGCAGGCCATTGTCGGGACGATGCAATCCAGCAGAGGTTAAGTGCCCGTAAATAGGACCGTAACCTGTGGTACCTATGGGATAGTCTAGTTCGGGTTCTTCAACCTCTCTTGGATTGTCTTGTTCCCGAACTTCATACATGGGAGGTTTTGGGGGATCCCGATTCACAGCACGGACGGGAACACCTGGCTGACTCGCCGCACGCAGGACGTGACCCCGCACGGGCTTTCTTTCAAGGACGTCCTCTGGGGGTGCCCGAAGCCTTTTCCATGCTTTTCTCTTCCCGGGGCGAGTGGACATTGTATCAAAACGGCTCACCGTTCACACCTTTGCTACAGGATTGCTGGCGAGTCGAGTTTGCGTAAACATGTCCGAGGAAAAAACACATGTTAAACATGCGGCGTTTATTGTAGATCTCTGTTCAATAGTGCGCAGCCCAAAACATTTTCAGCTTGGCAAAGCTTGGCATCGAGGATGTGGATGACCCGTCAAGCCCCGCCCGGCTTGCGGCTGAAGAACAGGAACAGACTGGTTTTTCAACACGGACCCCATGCACTGTGTGCGTTATTTTTAAAGCTTTTCATGGCTTTACTTGCGGAAGAATTTGATATGAAGTGAACAATCAGTTGTGCAGGTTCCCATGTCCAACAAATCTCAGATTCCAGTGGCATGATATCTCCTGTCCATATCCAAAGCGTGAGTTGACAAAACCCTGGGAGTCCAAGATGTTGTTGTTTGAGTCCTTAAAAGTGATTCCAAAAATAACTTCCTTTACTTCAGTGGGCAAAACCTGGTCCTTCGACTTAGGGATACTTAGGGCATAATAAACCTTCCCGAAGAGAGTCACCGTGTTCCCAAGGTCAAGTTGGATGGATTGGGTTTCCTCATGCCTCATGCCCTTCATTCGCGTTTTCGCGCGTCGATTTCGCGTCGTCGGATCCCCACCTGGGCTCAGAACGGCATCACGCGCTTAGCCATGGCCAAGACCTACGCAAACGGCCAAAGAATGACACTGCAGGGGGGGCAAGGGAGGATCTGCACCCTTCTTCCATCATCTCTGGTTTTTGTCGAACATCAGTGGGTCAGCAAATGACATGACGGCATCAATATGACATGACGACAATCACAGTTCAGCTCTTCTTTTGTGTTCGTTCGGCACGACGAAGATGCCTGTCAGTGACTACGAGTGGCGCGTGACGTGGCGATTGGCGATGGTGGCGAGTTCAGAAGGTCCACGCAAATCAGATTGAATCCATTTGAACCGAGAAAGACCTTCAACATGCGGCGGTAAGCCACATGTTGCCAAGGTTCGGTTCACAGAACAGGAGGAACCCTGTTTCAGACTTTGTGTGAGGGCCGACTTTATATTGTATATGATCCGTAAATGATACTGTGTTCGTCGCTTGTGGATATCATGGGTTCAGTGTCGGTGCGCTGTGTCTAGATAGTATATTTTATCTAATTTTTATTCACCCTCAAAAAATAACGTTTGCCCTGAACCAAATCCGGTGGTTTTAACCATTGGCGTGGTTGTATGTTAGTGAGGAGAGCATACACCTATATAGACAAAGACCCCAACAAAAACAAACCTGGTGATTTTCCAGCACATGGTTTCAAAAAAAGGGGCGCCCCTCTACTGTCGTCGTCGTAGGATGGGCTCAAACTTCAACGCAAAGGTTTCCGTTTCCGTTTCGGTCACTCCCAGACGCTCATGGACCCTCATATGGAGGGGTCTGGGGTCTCAAATCCCTAGGGTTTTGAGGTACCAAGAGCTGTTTGGAGCGTCTGGGCTGTTAGTAAGCTAGGTCGGACTGTCGTGCATCGACTCTGCTCGGTCGAAGGATGGAGCAGACCGGTCGTCGTCGAGTCGGAGGAAAGACCCACAGCGCCCCCCAAACCCCTTTTTGGAGGGACTGACAGGGCACGAAACTGGCACCAAGACAAAGGAATCCGACTTCTGGACATACTGGAAGTGTCAATCTGTTTTTTTTTGGGGGGGAGGGAGGGTGGATAATAGCAGGCATGTATCATGTATACATGGTTTCCGCTGGTGAAACCAGTCTTGGCTTATACTGGTCATCAACAAATCATCGTGTCATCAAAACCCCAATGTCGATTGCCGATTACTCAAAAAAAAACATACATGTCTGACATCTAGTCTTGGAACATTATTTGATATGGAGACAAGAGAATTCCAATTTAGAAAATAAGGTGGAAAAAAGGCAAGATAAAGGTGAAACAAAAAGGTAACTCAAAATCTAAGGTAATTGCAAAAGGTAAGGAAAAGATAAAACAAAGGCATAACTAAAGGCATATCAGTAGGTGACAAAAAGGCAAATCAAAGGTGAAATGGAATAGAAAAGAAAGCTGCTTGCAGGGCTACCTTTTCTGGTTACCTTTTATTTACCTTTTTTTCACCTTTTTTTTAATTCTCAGACAGCTCCTCTCCAATCAAATATTTTTGCAAATCTAGTCTAAAGAGATAGAACATGGCTACAAACTATTGCATATTGTCATATATTGCCTGTGACTGGTTCAACAAAGCATAACTTGTAAATGATCAACACTTTGATACTTTCATCCCAAAAGTTGGGCTAAGATGTTTATTTGTACAGAGTGGAATCACTTGAACTTGAGGACTTTGAACTATGGGTCTGTTCACCGCTTGACTGGCTCACGGATGGTCAATCTCAAGAAAATACAAGACCACCATCCCGAAAACGCCTCTGGAACCGGAACCAAAACCAAGTTCGCTGGAGACGGTTGCCAGGTGCCCTTTCCCCCACAAAGACCATGGACTCATCTTGAGGACTCATGTTTCCCCCTTCTATCCACGAAAATCCGACGAAGAGGTCGAGACCTCCGCGACCGGTGCTGGGTGTGCCCACCGGCCGCGGCAGGTAGCGCCGCGCGGCCGGCAGTGCCACTGGAGACCGGTCCAGGTAGGGCAGTAACAGCTGAGCCTGGTGTCGGCCGGGCAGGGAAGAAAGAGAGCGACCATGCCATGCGGGGGTTCCGAAAGAGAGCGACCATGCCTTGAGTTTCTGAAAAGGCGGACGTTTTTTTCTCTAATTAAGTGGTGTTTGGTCCGAATTCCCAGCCTTTCCTACAGTAGATGATAGTCCTTTTTTCCTCTCCCTTCCCTTTCATGGTCCTTTCCTTTCCTTTCCCTTTCGTTCCTTAAGTCAAGTCAAGTCGCGAACGAGGCTTTCCACACAACTTGTGGATCAAAGATGTCTCAGTGTCTCGGAATGGGTGCGCTCTTGGCTGGCTCTGGGTGTTGTTAGGAGCCTGTTTGAAGCTGGCTGCACGAGAGAAGTCTTCACCCAACATGTGCGAAGGAAGGCATCTTTCAGTGTTGGGCACTGTCACCAAAAAATATTCTCAGGAGTCTCAAGACATCAAAGAACGGAATGATTGCTTTTCAGAAAGCTTGTTACTTCAGGGTTGCCTGCGATTACCTGTCAGCTAAACATAACACACGAGGGATCTCGAGGGTGTATTGGGAGACTTGCCCAAGAAGAAAAGTCCAAATATGTATGAGTCGAGCATTTTCAACAAGCGGTCTGCAATGTGAGATGAGCCGCAGAATCAAGCCAGGTCGCTTCTGGACCACGCTTGTTCCGCTACACTTGTGACACTCAGACCGATGGGAAGAGCTGTTGACATCCAACCATGGGCTTTTACTCCTGGGTGATTGGAGAAGAACGACTCACAGACTCAGTTCTAACCGAAGCTGTTTTTGAATCCCCCGCTCCTTTCGAAGCTTTCCTTCAAGTATTTGAACCCCAAAAAAGCTGTCATGTTTACCACTCAGTGTGTTGTTGCTGCTTGTACACCACCGGGAGTTGTTCATGTCCTTTACCTGTAGGTGACCTCTTTGGAGGCCGCACATCGGACAACTGTGGCCTTTCCACTTGCCATTGCACATGCCCTCCGGATGAGGAAAAGTGCTTGTTCAGGGTCTCTCCCTGCTTGTAGTAGATGCTGCAGTTGGCACACTGATTGATCCAAGCGAGATCCTTTGGCCTTTGGTGCACGTCCAACTTGTAATATGCACTATATCCATCAACCGCTGGCGCCTTATCGTTATACTTCATCTTGTCCAAGTCCTTTTTCCATATCATCACGACGCCCTCTGGGAGCTGCTCCCCGCGGCAATGGGCCTTGACCAGCTTGCGCTTCTGGGCTTCAACCTGGCTGATCAAGGCGTCGAGCTCAGCCACCTTGGCAGCCACCACCTGAGGTTCATGAAACTGATAAACAAACACATCAGGTCAGGTGCAAGTTGTTTGTTTATGTTAACTATTACATTCAACAAATGGCACAGGGAGTGTCCTAGCATATAGAAAACAAATCACACAACCATTATTATGAAAATGATGAGATTCATTGAGCTTCACATTAGATGATTACACATCATGTGTTTTGTTTGTCTTGATATAAAGTTTGATGTCCTGTTTGGCCTCATGATTGTTTTTTGCAGGAGTCGGCCTCATGTTTGGCCTCATTAGCACATTTCAAAACACAGCAAGAATGGACAAGAAGCAACCTATCTGACAAATCGCACGCACCCGCAAACCAAACGTTTCGTACTTTCGACCCCAAAAGTGATGAACATGGGAGTTCGGCACAAGTGGTTGTGCAAATAAAACGCAAGAATCCGCTGATTAAAGGGCATCAGCCTAGCTGGCATTCAAGCAATCCATTGTCGTGGATCGTCTTCCTCCGCTATGCTAGAAAGAAGACACCTTCATCAAATCCGCTTCAAAACGAGGAGATTTCATCAAATCCGCTGACCTGACGTTCCTCTGCCATGCTGATGGAACAAGCAGCATACCCGTCTGTGCCGTTCTCAGCCATCGGGGTGTCTGCGGCCATGGCGCCAAGCTGTGCTATTCGATGTGCTCAGATGTGCTTCGAGCCAAACTGAAGGACTCGTCTGCTTCGGCGTGGAAATCCACACTCGTAGGGAAAAAGCTAAACTTACATTTCTTCTGGAATTGAGCGGCCCTTCTTGAGATTTGTTGGTGAAACCTCTGGTAGGAGTAGACATGAGTAGCATATGTGACTATACCATGGTTTCTACACTACGCCACTATGCCACATTATGCCGCTAGAACCACTGGTTACTGGCTAATTACTGGTTATGTTCCGTTCGGTGTGGAAAATATACATTGCAGATTGCCGACTATGGACTCACTCCACAGCTTTGTCATGTGGGTGTGTGTTAAAAAGGGAAATAGACCAAAATCCCTTGGCTGGGTGTCTCCCTATTAAAATACACACCCATGTTCGAATCAGAACTTACATGGTCTGTGGGCCTCCAGCATCACTTGTGCGACGTTCTATCTCCAATGAAGAAGCCGCATCCCTGATGTCAGTTGAAAGATGTTGAAAGTCATCTGACCATACCTCCATCAGCCCTGGCCTCAGCCCTTCATACCCCTCTCAGGCATCCCCTCTCACCCCACTCATCTCCCTCTCCGGCTCCCATGTGCCAGGCCTGAACGTCTTCACCGTTGAGAGGTCCTTCAACCACCGGCTCCGAATGTGTAGCATCCTTTTGCAAGTGGACCTGAAGCACGGCAAACAGGGCAAAAAAAAAAGTCGGACCGGAGCACGATACCCCGTGAATTTAAAGGTAGCAAAGCACACCAAAGCTTGATCCATGACTTGGTGGACATCCATGACTTGGGAAGGAATTGTTTCTCGTTTTTTGTGATGTTTTTGTGATTGGCGGGGCGAAAGAAGCCAAGCAGTTCTTCTGTAGATGTATGATCACCTGGCAGGAAGCCCCAGCCTGCTACTATCCGGGATCTCCAGCCAAGGACCAACTTGAAGGTCCAGGTATATGTTTGTTCCACACCTATTGCTTGGCCAACCCAAGCGATGCAAGGAGGTTTTTAGTCCGTCCTGAGGTCTGCTTGTTCGAAGCAAGATGAGTATCTGACAAAATCAATGGAGTCCTTCAAGATGCTTATTGGTACAGTAAACCAATTATAAACATCTCAGTGAGATCCAGTGAGTATATGCATCACTTCCATGAAGGCTGCGTTGAAGATTCATCACACAGGCTGACGTCAGGCCGGCGACCGATCCATTGTTGGAAACTATGCGACCGGCCGATGAACAAAGCTGATCAGCTGATGATCAGCTGGCTTGACATGCTTTAAACAAGTAACCATGCAGAGACCTTAGTCAACCGTCTCCCTATTGTAAGACACACCCATAGTCCCTGTTAAAGGTTACCAGAGATATCAATAGCTCATCTTCCCCAGTCAGACTCCAGTCAATGGGTTGAATGGGTGCTTTTTGTTCTTTTCTCGGAACAACCACGGAAGCCGACGCGGTCTTCATTTCGAGACATACCTTTGAAGGTGCTGGGGCCCGGGCTGTACATATGTGGTTTATCCTGCAACTTGGGTGCTTTAGTGGAAGTGTTCCACCGCACAGTCAAAAGAATTTTGATGATTGCGCTTCTGGGTTTGCTTTGAACAAATCAATCTATACACCTCTTCATTCACCTGTCCACCCATGTCCACCCTCCCCAATCACCGTGCCTTCACGTCCACGTTCGCCTGAATCCATCACGGGCCAGCAACCGTTGGTTAGCGTAGACCTTTTTGGGAGGGGCTATGGTGACACATAGTCACCGGGATCCGTTGGAAGAACATCGATTTCGGTTTGATGGTGTTCGATTTCGGCTTTGCTGGTTTTAGATGCTGTCCAACGTGTTTCTCCCTGTGTCTTCCCTTTAGTGAAGTGAAATGCCACATCAAGTTCTTCAACAAACGCTTGCACATGCTGCGCCTGACCCTTCGCGGAGCTAGCGGAATCCGGGAAGCTGATCTTCGAACCGTCAGGGAGGACCAAGTCGATGATTCCCCTGTGTGGGATGACTTTCAACATCTTCAACTGCGCAATAACTTCGCCTTCACATCGACTGAAGCCATCACCACATGTCACCACCTGTGCCTCCAGCAGGTTCCTCGACTCTGAACATGAACGTTAGGGGCACCCCTGGGTCATCCAATGGGTGTCTGATAGACTACCCTACACTGCTTATGGCCCTGCATGGGATACCCAGACAGGATGATCCTGGTCCGTGTCGTGGAGAACTGACCCGTCCCCAAGCGGCTGCCGCCGCAGTGGCCTTCCTCAAGGCTTTCGCGAAGTTGGTCGTCATATCCTTAGCCAAATGGCTTGGAGCTGCCACATGTCATGGTCGAATGAGGACGATGCCAATGGCTTTGGACAAAACCACATCCCCCAACCGTTCATTTGCATCCTGGGGTTCTTCAATTCCCCAGGATTAGTGTGACTTGGAGTGAGGAAAAGCCATCACTATGGTCACTATACAAAAAGGCTTGGTTTCATGCCGCTTCCCTGTCTGGCCACACCGAAGAATGCGGGCTTTTCATCGACACGATGACAGCCTTCGCGGCGACATGCCCCAGACATTGGCCCAGAAAGGGATTCATACCTGGAACCCCAAACGATCACCGTTGTTTGAGTGCCAATCAGTTTTGGTAGGTGTTCCAGACTTCCAGGTGCGTGACCCACACATGGGCCATGCCACGGACTTTGGATCACGCTTTCTTGCGCGTGAAGATACGTGACCAAGCTCTCAGTTGTGCAAATTCAAGTGCTTCTTGTCCCTTTCATCGCGGCGGCAAGGGAAACTGGGAAACTACATGATTGACTATGACCCAACCTTCCAGTGTGTGAACTACATGTCTGAAATAAACCTTGATTGATATCATTTGGGCGTGGAGGATCAATATTTTTTAGCCAGCACTCTCTGGTGGTGAGATGCTTGGACCCTCAAAAGGAAAATGCTGGTAGATTGACCTTGGATGTTCAGCTGCAGTAGTCCCAAAATAGATCTATATATCTACTATATACAGTACAGTAGTTAATAGTTAATTATTCACAGTTCCCATAAAAAATGATCAGCATCCATCAATTTGGGGACCACTACATATACGCCTCATGTCTTCCTTACATTGTTTCATTTGTTTGGCAAATGGACAACCCCTCCAGCTCTGGAATTCACTCACTTCCGCCAGCACTGGCCACACTGCCAAGACTCTACAGGCACGCTCGTGTCAGCCTCCGAGTCAGCTTGTCTCCAATGGGAAGGAACTATTTAAACATACAGCATATATACAGTATATATATATATATATCTACAATCTGAAAGGCACGAAACGTGCAAATCAATGCAAATCCAGGACAAAGTCCCTCCATGTCGGGACCAGCAACACGAAGAGCTTCCGAATGATGTTTCTCCGGCCTCGCCATGGAAAAGATGCACCGTTGGCAGGTGTCGGCCAGCCGCACGAGCATAAGCCCCTTCCTGTGCCGACTGCTGTCCGTTCTGCTGTGGGTCTCCAGAAGTTCATCAAGGCATCAAGCACCAGGATTCCAATTGACTTCGTAAGGAGGTTGTGGTTAGAGGAGCCGACTAGAATGCGGTTGCCCAACAACTCAGCATCATATGCATTCTGAATGCCTTGGAAGCAAATAGGCTCCAACACACAATATCTTAAATCGCGACCATCTATCCTTGAATATCAAAGCCTCTGACGTGTAGGTTGGCAACCCGGGCCCAACAAGAAAGCATCATATGCATTCCGAATGCGTTGGAAGCTAAAACGCCGTTGCCATCTAGGCTTATCAATCCCTGTGACGTGTGTAGGTTGGCTACAGACCAACAAGCCAGCATCATACATTCCGAATCCCTTGCAAGTCAATATGTTGCAACCAGCAGTATCTTAGATCGTTACC